CCCGATTTCTTCTGGTTTCACCGTTTCCACCCAACGCCAAGCCGCTTTTTCCAGCTGTAAGCGGGGCGCCATAATCCTACGATGTAACGTTAACCACACAGTCACATATATGAGTAAAAAAAAACAACAATACAATGGCCTAACCCAGTCCCCAGGAATGCTAACATAGCCGGCTAACAGGGGCTAACAAAATAAGTTCTTGCAGGTCATAGTTTGGTTCTTACGAAGCAACCTACCGTTAGCTATGTGGTGCTCCTAACCTAGCCAGCTAGTATTAGCTTAGTTCCATCACTAACGTTACCCTATTGAATTTAAAAAGTGAGCATAGCATATCACACATCGTAACAACATACACACAACTGGAATTCAATAAACACGACAAACAGTATTTGCAGGGTAACGGCAGGAGTAAGGACTACCCTCGTGCTAATGCTAGCTAGCTAGCTAAAATGAAGCTAGCCCGACCGGCAGCGTTAGCAAGTCATTTTCCCTGCAATTTCCATTTAACGCTACCTTACGCTAACGTAACGAGTTTATTGTGTTAAGGTGAAATATTATCGAACCTTGCATGCGTGCAGCTGCTTCACCAAAATATTTTAATGTATTTTCACATTTTATTCACGGTTTATTTTAGATTTAGCGCCCTTACGTCAGTTTATAAATAAATTATTTCTCCGCTCAAAATCAGCACGACGTCAACAAGTGACGTAGGCGACGTCTCTTTGTTGTGACTGGAGGGAGGAACGGATATATCCGGAACCTTCGGAGTCCTCTTTTCTGTCCGAATTTACATAGGTGGCACTTCAACGCTTTCTTTCCGTGGTCGAAAGAATAATATATTTGATTTTGTCAAATATGTTATTAAATAAATATAGTTATTTCCCTTTATTTCAGAATCAGAATCAGATTTATTGCCAGGTAGGTTTTTACACATACGAATTTGTCTTGGTACAATAGTGCTTAAAATATACAATCACACAAAAATATACAATCACACAAAAATATACAATCACACAAAAATATAGTAATCACACAAAAATATATAAATCACACAAGAATAAAGTACTTTAAATTAAATTTTAATTGTAATAAATATTTAAATTTAAAGTGTGTTTTAGTTCCATTCATGTTTTGTGATGTTGCTATGTTTAGCTTTAGTATTAAGGAGCAAATATAAGAATTAATTAATATATGTTAGATAAAAAAATAAAAGCAAAATAAAATCTAGTTTTGTTAACTGGTATTTAGGGTAGTTCAAACTATAAAACAAATAAAAGACCCCACTATTTATTGGTGGAGCTATTCAGTGTCAGTTGCTTTATTATGGCAATGATGATTCTCCCTCAGGCTAAGATTCAGGAGGTCTATCCATATCACTGTGTTAGCACTGAGCAATGTCTGCCCTTTTGCACATGCACTACACAAAGGTCAAGTGTGTGGTGGTGGCTGCCTGACGAAAGTGTTGCTTGGGCATGATCACAGTGCTCAGGTTAAAGAAAGAGGAAGCAGGGCTTTCAAGTAATAAGTAAGTATATAGTAGAGAAGCAATACAATAAAAAATACTGATTTTCTTTTATGGCCAAAATTTGTTTGTAGTATTAGTAGTTAAATACACAAAAAATGCCCCAAAACACCACAATGTCTCACCAAAATAAAATGGCTACTTTTAACTCATTGGATACACAAGACTCTCAGTTATCCAGTCAAAGCCAATTAAATTAGTTCCAACACTGTTTATTTATATATATGTATGCAGAAATATTCAAATACACTTGAAAAAAATAAAAATAATAAAAATAACACATTTATACTGCATGCAAAATAACTACATGTTGTTTGTCCAGAACTACATTGGGTTAGCATGAAGTGGGCATGTCTGTAAAGGTGGGACTCACCCATTTTCATTCAGATATCTTGAGTTTAGAGGTCAAAGATTTTTCCATCCAAAAAGTAGCCTTGCTTTGGAAGGTATATGGTAGACAGACCTGAATGGACGCGTTAGGTCAGTGGCTCAGGCCAGACCAGGCTTAATAAATTCTGCTTTTGGTGCCTAAAAGGTTTTGCCCTGCCCTGTTAACACACAACTTTTTTATGATGTACCTCAATATTGGCTATTGACGTTTTCATTCAGAAAATATTTTGTTTATGCCCTGTTCTCACACATTGTCTGTATAAAATAATTAATCTAATTATGACAACTAATGATGCACTTTATATGTCCTACTGGGAATATCCTTCCTTCCTATCCTATCCAGCATTAGCTGCTGATATATATATAATCAGCTTAGCTGTGCTATCAATACCGAACAAGTGAGAGACATGTCCTGTGCTGCCAGCTTTACATATCTTCAAGCTGTACAGCAGGGACCTCAAACTGTTGGCCCAGGGGCCATTTCGCATAAAACAATATTATATAATCTGGCTCACAAGATTATCATTATTTACTTTTTGTTTCTAGTTATTTCATATCAATTTGGCCAGTACAATTTTATCATAAAAAATGTGTTTGCTTTGGTGCAGAATAATGGCAAAGATCAAAAGTTCCTGCAAATGTGTGCAAATGTTTTAGAGCTGTATTTGTTGTTTGGCTGCAAACAACAATGATATATAATGATGATATCAAAATGTATAGAACTGCTGTTTGCAATTTTGTTTTTTGTGTTAGCATTACCAATAGAACTATTTTCTAATTACTGCTTTAGTGCTTGAATGTTGAAGTAGCCAGCCAAATACCAGCAGTGGCCCCAAGCCAATTTGAGTTTGAGACCCATGCTGCACAGACTGCTGAAATGAAGAATGACCTTACTAAGGTTTTAGGACAAAGTACTGAAGCAAAAGTGGAATTGTCTGCACATTATAAACATGTGACTGCGGACATGACAGCACATGTGCAAGGAAGGTAAAGGAGTGCCTGTGAACCAGCTCGTGCAAATGGTTTAACACAACCGCATCATTAGAAAGAGGTTGTACTTGGAGAGCTGATCACCATATGGTCAAGTGATGTAATCATTATGGCAGTTATGCTGAGTGTGATTATTTGTTTGAGATAATCACACACAATATTATCACTGTACGGTTTCAATGGCTGCTGCCGTTCACAGGTATTCCACGTGCAGTGTAAATATATTTTATAATTTAAAATATGCTGACTACACAGAAACAGATGGAAATGAGTTAACAACTGGCCCCAGAAGAGAAGAACCACACAATGCATTTAATCAAGGCTGTACTAAAGTTTGTTGGAAACATCAACATTGACACTTATAAACCCGTGGTTCCCAAAATGGGAGTCGGGACCCCCTACTAGGGGTAGCCTAGAAAACTTTACAAATTAACAAAATTTAGATAGATTCTGGAAATGTTAGTCCACATGAAACAGAAAGCTGAGCGCTGTTTGCTTCCACATATTTATGTGTTTAGGTGTTGTTGTTTTTTGCCGAGTTGACTCCTGGCCCCCTTGGGCTGAGTCAGCTAACGTTAGCTCTGTTCCACACTAACAGCAGTTAACGCAGTTGAGGCAGAGCAGGACAACAGAATGAAAACCAGAAAATATTTTCTCCACAGAGTTTCTCACAAATTATTGAGAAAGTTGTGTTTTTGTGCTGTTATTGGTGAAGCCTGGCCCCCAGAAAACTGTCCGCTTGTAGAGAAAGCCATTGTGACGCTAGCTACCTAATGAAGCTGAGCTCTATGTTGCTAAAAGTTGAAGACTGATTGATTAATTCATAAGTAAATATTATTATTATATATATTATATAAATATTTTTGGTTGAAATTAGATGGTTAATGTTTTTTCAAAAAATATTCAGAGTGAAAAAATCTGTCATACCAGTTCATTAACACAAAGAAGACAAAAACAACCAAGAAACCAGATAGCCTACATCAAAAGGTGAAATAATAAAGATAATAATCATGTATTTCTTATTTGTAACAGATTCAGTATCAGAATCCGAAATACTTTATTGATACCCAGGGAAAAACTGGTTGCATTACAGTTGCCAAGCAAGACATTAAAGTAAATATAAAATATTAAAATATGTGCATAAAATCACAATATATAACAACAATATAGAGAGTGTGTAAAATGTGTACACTATATCACAGTATATAACAATATATAGAAAATAACATTTGAAATATGTACAGTACAGTATATAACAGAAGTTTCACTGATAATGATACACAGACTCAAACTAGCATTCAATTTCAATTATAATGAACCCAAAGGATGGGACTGAGTTTCACTTTTGCGGATATGAAATTTTCAGAATTTAAATTCCTAAAGAAATATTAACAATAGTGCATTAGTTCTCATTACATAAAAAGTAATGTCACTCAGTGACAATCACATGAGTTGTTTTGCATAACATATAATTCTCAGTCTTTCCAGAATAAAATGCAACATGGGCAACAATAGAACAGATCATTTCCTACTTTCTTGTTCAAATGCTTGAGGAGTAATGGATTACGTAATCGGTATACAAAAAAGGTAGCTGTTATCCACTACAGTTACAGAAATGGAGTTTATTTGTAGGGTTACCATTTTAAAATGCATACGCTTTTCTTTAAAAATACACTGAGCAGAGGATTTCTGATGCGTAAAATCTTTCCGTTTCCATTATCTTTTCAGAGGTTTCATTGTTCTGTTGTCTTATAGAATACACTTACATCAGTACTTATTGACATTTATTTTCTGTCGTTATTATTTAAATATTTGGTGTTGAAGTCACAGAAAATAATAATAATAAGTTACAAATTACGGTAATTCAGTGATACTTGGATTAGGTTACTGACTACATTTTTTAACAGGTAAATAGTAACTGTATTTGAGTACATTTTTAAAGTAACCCTCCCAACCCAGTTTATTCCGTCGTGCACAAAGTATCCTAAGAGTCTTTGAATGTAGCACGTTGCCTGACGGCTGACTGGATGAATGCACGAGGCTCCGCCCCCCTGCGCGTGAAGAGCTGCAGCCTCGTGAAGCCAGCAGCCAGGTCGATGAGCCAGGTCCACCCGCGGACACCTCCACTCCACCGCCTCTGCACCGCTCCTCAGGTAAAACCTACCTTTATTACACGGTTACGACTACAGTGTGGTTTCTTGTTGGCATTTTATAGCTGTGTGTATACAATGAAGTTATCTTTGTTCAGGAATATACACAAATTGGTTCAAACTTCCCGCTTTATACTATCGTCCTTACCGTTTAATAATCTATGGAAGTTATACTTTTTAATAGGACAAAACTAATGTTACACTCTTCATAGAAACTACTCACATCAATTTGGCTCTTGATTTTGGCTTGAACAGCCCATTTCAGCCACTGTTAGTTGTATACAATTTACTGTCCACTGTTCACAGTGTGTTTGCTGTTTGCTTGCTGGAAGCACTAAGGGACAAAACATCTAACTTTCTCAAGTACATCTTTGAATCTGTACCCCCTTAAATTCTGGGTTCCCTAAGTTGCTTCATTTTGTGCCTTAGTTTTTCCAGACAGTTTAAAGTCTCCAGCAGCCATTCATCAGAATGTAATCTCAAGTATGTGTCTATGATTGTCTGAGATATTAACTTTAATTAATTTCATCATTTGGCAAATACATTTTAGGATGTTCTAACTACTAATGTTGCAAAGTCCAGCATTATAAAATGACCCAGTTTTTGTCCTGACAGGGAATCAGCCGCTAATCTGTTCCCACAACAGACACAAGGAGGGAGAACAGGAGATGAGGAGGAGGGAAGATTAACTAACCACTGCTATTTACCTCTCTAATCCTCTGCATTTTGGGATCTTGTGTAACTGATAGGTACAAATGGGCTTTGCCCAGGGAGCACTGACCTCAGTCATGGACATGCAACTGTTTATGTAACCAGAACACAAGGGGAAGGTGGGGGGACAACTTAAAGGGTCGTGGAACAGGGAAAGGTTAGGGTCAGTGAAGAAGTCCCCCGCTGACTTTGTGTATCGGGTGTGTTCGACCACTGTGGTCAGGGCTGTGGGCTATCCAGGATTTTTGGAATACTGAGATGCACCATCTCCCAGAAAAATGTGACCAGAAACCATTAATTAAGTCTCAATCTTATTATTTTGTTTTTTAAAAACATTTTATTATTATTAATATAATTATTAAAATGCCAATCAATGTAGAATAAAAAACTCCCTCCAGGTTCCTAAAACACCCAAATTCCCTAATTCAATTCAGTCTGATTTATTTTGATACTTCCAAAAAGTCTTAATACAGTTCATAAAAGTAACTAAACTGATTCAGTTAAAAGTCAAGGTGCTACAGTTTAGAATTTTGTTGAAAAGACACACATATATGTGATACTGATAATTCCAGGTACAACAGTGGTGGCTTTCCAAAGATATGATCAGATCTGAGATTTCTGCGTTTTTGAGCCAGTAAGAAATATAAATAATTGATGTAACCTGTGCTTCAGGAGTCTACGGCAACGTCAGAGCCAAGATGGGGCGGAAGGAGATCATCTGCAGTTGGAAGAAAAGCACCAGTAACATCAAGGATGTGTTTGACTTCAATGGGAAAATGGGATCGTAAGTACTGCTTATGAAAATAAAGACAGACAAGAGAAAGAAATGTACTGTGAAGTACACACACAGTAATCAAGGTTCATTGGCAGTTAGTTGCAGCTTGGTTTTTGTTACAGAAAGGCAATTTAAGAACATTGCAATTTATAAGAAAAAGTGAGGGCTTTTTTTGTTGTTGAGGGCTATCAGTACACCACTAATGGGCGTTCAAGACCAAGTTGATAAAAAGAATGTAATTTGGAGAGGTATAAGTTGATTAATGAGGGAATGTGCAGTGAGTCGGTGACTGTCTCCATTTGCAAGGATGGAGGTAGGGCAGATTTTTTTTGGGACTAAAAAAGCCCAAAAACTCTTCTGTGCTTAAGTGCTTTTTCTGTGTCTGTGATAAGCATGGGTACTCATATTGACTGTCATGTCATGGTGTGGGTAGGATAGTTACCAAGCTGCTGAAAGACAGTCTGTAAACCATACCGATTTCTTTGCCACACTAGTAAGCCATTTAAAGGTCCATAATTGTTGTGTTTCTTTACCTTAGAATGAGCTGTTTTAGCTACAGAGGGACTAGAGTCCACCATGTTTTTACAGTAGCCCAGAACGGACAAACCAAACAGTGGCTCAAGATATTAGCCTTTTTACTCACCCTAATTTCTCTTACAAACACAATAAATCATTTTGCCCAAATTCAGAGGGCAGTTCCTGGATTAAGTGAATGGAAGGGGGGCTGTCTGTCTCCCTGTTACCAGGCTCAGTTTAGCTTACGGGCTGAGGATAATCCTCAACCCTGAGAGCGTGTTTTATCAATGGAGCCTCTTGGGGCGGCTGTTGCTCAGAGGAAGAGCGGGTCGTCCTGTAATCGGAAGGTTGTTGGTCCGATCTCCAACTCCTCCCCCCACTCATCGAAGCATCCTTGAGCTGAACCTGCAATTGCTCCTGATGCTGTGAATGTGTATGAATGTTAGTTTCTGTTCGATGGACTTTGCCATCACTGAGTGAATGTGTGTGAAAGGGTGAATGTGGCACGTAGTGTAAAAGCGCTTTGAGTGGTCGGAAGACTAAAAAGGCGCTATACAAGTACAGGTCCATTTACAATTACACTCTACCTGCTAGTGGAGGACTTTACATTGTTAACCAGTTGGAAGACAATAGGGCCACATAATCAGCATATAATGATTATGATCACAACGTTGCAGTTAAATAAACTTGATCAAGTGTAATTCATATTGACATTTTATGCAGAGTGATTGAGATTGGACGGCAAGTGGGTAGGACTTAATGGCATCAATTGGTAAAGTTGCTGATCGCCACTAACTGAGCAGCCTTCCAAGTGTGCAGGACAAAACTGTGATGGCTGTAAAACATATGAGAAATGTGAAGGGCCCTATCTAGAGCCAGTGTTTGTCAGTTCTTGGCTACTGCAGAAACATGGTCGTTTAACCTGGACTCTGCCATAAGAGACGGACGGCTCATTTTAAAGTCACAAATTCTTATATGCAGGCCTTTTCAGGTTATACACTAATGAAAATATACCTGTGGATATTATTTTCAATTTCTACATATAGATCCTCCTCAGTGTTACTCACTGAACCTTTTAAAATACACTACCTGATTTTGCTAACTCTCCAAACAGATGTTTTGATACCTGCACCCATGTGACATATATATTTTTTTAGTTTGACCTACACTGAATGAAAATCAGGATACCACAGCCTCTTCTGCATCAATTTTCACCATTCTTTTTTGGATCTGTCTGTCTGCAACTTTATGGAAGTGCAATACAAAATCTGCACCTGGATTGCTCCTTCAAAATAGGACAGACTTCACAAATTCATTGATGTTTATGTCTTCATACAAGCAGCTTTTGCATCAACTTTAAATAAAGTAAATTGACAAAATTATAATTGTTTTATATTATTCAAAAAAAAATGTAATTAAAGAATATGAAGAAGCCTGAACAGGAGACCAGGTTGGCCTCACATCACTGCTCAGTACAATGACCTGTAACAAATGGATGCTGAGTTAACTGTAGGTGTTGATTCCTCAGAGCTGTCCTCCACTCTTAAAGCAGCTTAAAGCGCTTAGTGCTCCACTGGCTGTAAATGAGTCAGGTTTCTGTGTGTGTGTGTGTGTGTGTGTGTGTGTGTGTGTGAGTGGTGAGGCTGCTGAACACTGACGTCAGAACAGCAGTGTGAGAACATCCTAGCACCACTTCATTATAGGATTAAGAGTCTGACTGACTATCTTGGTGGAGTGTACTGAATGTATATGAAGGGAGGAGGGATAAACAGGGGCAGGTGTGTGCAAACATGAGATCGACACGTGCCTGAGTCGACACATCTGTTACTCTGCAATTGCTGCATTAGAGATGTCCATTACATTCCTTTGCAAAAGGCCATTCCTTTTTTTATTTAAAGTAGTAATCAAGCCGATTTATTTCTGCCATTTTAATGTCACCATTTTTAATTTTTCAGTTTGCTCTATTTTGAAAAGTGTCCTGAGATAACTTTTGTTATGAATTGCCGCTATACAAATAAAACTTGATTGGATGGAACTGAATTGAACTGGAAAGGCTCTGCTGCACTTAATGGAACAGAACCTTAATTAGTATTATTAGTATTAATAGTAAACTGTAAACATACCTCAGTGCTGCCACACAAATCTAGTTAGCATTTTGTTCCTTGCAGTTATTTCATAGTCATGATAGTTCTAGAGGGAGTTAACTTGTCTCCTTCTCTTTACTGACGAAACATACCTAAGGATCTGCTTATCAGAGGCAAATATTTACTAAACATTCTGGGCGCAAGCAAAAGAGTCCCCCACTCTGAAACAATCAGATTAGAATCAAACCCAGAGTAGTTAGTACTTAGCACCACATATGGAGGCAAAGTAATTAAAGCAAAAACACCACAGCATGAGGCAAAACATAACAAGGGCCTGTCAGAAACATAAGCACTCTTCACAGTTCAGTACAGCTGAAAAATCCAAGAGAGCCACACAAAGAGTTACATTTTCAAGTATTACTGAGCAAATTTAACTTTATCTTTAATGCTGTACACCTATGACTGCACCCCCCTTCATGGAGAAAACTCTGTTGTGAAGTTAACCTACTGCTCAATGTCGGCAAAACCCAGGAGCTGATTGTTGATTTTAGGAGAAAAGAGGCAAAGACACAACCCTGTTTACCTCAGTGGAGCTGAGGTGGAGCATGTGAACAGTTTCAACATCACAGAGAACCTGCCATGGCACATCTCCAACCTGGTTAAGAAAGCACAGAAACGACTGTATTTCTTAAAGAAAGCAACATTCCCATGCCAAGTCCTTGTGGCTGTAAGAGTGCTGAATTCATCCTCTGCACTCCACCATAATACATATTTTTATCATCCATTTCTATCATTTAAAAAGGGACTACATGTTACTGTAGAATGATAAATAAATTAACCTGTTTGTGCATTTCCATAGACTGCTGTCTCTCCATTAACTCCCACCTCCATTTATGTGTCTGTATTTTCTATTTTTGTGCAGGGGGTCTTTTTCAGAGGTCTTTATGGTGAGAGAGAAGTCTACAGGAAAACTGTATGCCCTGAAATGTCTGAAGAAAAAACACCTTGCTCATAGCAACCTGGAAAATGAAATCAATGTGCTGAGAAGGTAAACACACACGCACACACAACAGCCATATATTCAAGCTCAAACATGCAAAAGTGCAGGCTCATTGACAGTCAGCATGATATTGACCAAGGTATTTTACTGTGAACCATGTACATGATTGAATAAATGGTTTCAACTATCTACTCATTTTGCCTTTATTTCAAAATAAAAGTGCACTGTTACTCTAGCTAACAAAATTTAAAAATTTAAACAAATTTAAAATTAACAAATGAATCCCCACACTGTGTTCTAATAACCAAATTAGCTGGATGAGAATTAGTACAGATACAATTATAAATAAATAATTATCAGGGCAGATAAAATATCGTCCGATAATGGGAAATTTACATTTTTATAAATGTTCGGATTAATAACTCTTCTTCTATAAATTATTAGTTTAATATTGATAATAATTTATTTGTAATTCTTATGCGAAACAATTGATAGGCTTTATGTTCTATGAAAGCCTATGTAATGAACATTTGAAGAGTCAGAACTGTTGTTTGTTTTTAAAATGTGAAAACCTGAAATGATCAGTTATCTTATTGATATCAGTCACAAGAAGCAGGTAATTATCGGTTTTGTATTGGCTGAAAAAAATACATATTGTGCACCCCTATGAGTTAGGCCCCGTCTCAAGAACAAGGACCAGCATTACAGTTGTATCACGGTAAACGTAATAATTTCCACTGGAGACAGTGCTGATGCCTCAACCTCTTTCTTATTATTTCAGGATAAAGCACGAGAATGTGGTGGGACTGGAGGATTTCTATGAGAGTCGAACACACTATTACCTGGTCATGCAACTGTAAGTGGACTCATTATTATCATCTCATTTTTCACTAATGATTCAAGATTCAAGATTGAAGAAGTTTATTATCTTCAAATCAATCAATCATCATAGTTACCTGGGTAGAACAAAGTATTGACAGGATAATAAATATTGAGAATATATGAGAAGGTCCTAGCTCTTCATTGAAGTTACATATATGATGTTTATACTGAGCGAAATACTCAAACCCAAAGTTCCATGTTTTTTATGGCTGTACCATTCCATCAAAAATTATTCTAAATGTTCATTTTATAAAGGTCAACCTGACATTTTTGCTATTTGTCAACTGTGATCTCAAAAGAAAGTTCAAAACTGTTTTGATCTACAGAACTATTGGTCCAAATGGCAGGTCAGAGGAGTTGAGGAAAGCAACAAGATCCCCAGAAATATAGAATCACTGATGATTTCCTTTGTACGTTTGTGTGTGTCCAGGGTGTCAGGTGGGGAGCTGTTTGATCGCATTTTAGACAAGGGGGTTTACACCGAGAAGGATGCCAGCACAGTGATCAAACAGGTGCTGCAGGCCGTCAGCTACCTGCACGAAAACAGCATCGTACACAGGGACCTTAAGGTAAGACACACACTCACTCACTCACTCACTCACTCACTCACACTCACTCATAATGGGAATCATTTCACTCAGAAAGAAAATGAAAAGTGAGTTATTAGAATGACCATAAAATATCATATAACATATATCATTTCACTCTTTGCCAAAATAATCCATCATACATTTTAATATTGGCAAACGCCTACTTTAAGCTGGTGGTATCACCCAGGGCCAGTGTTGGGCAAGTTACTGAGAAATAGTTATTAGTTACAGTTACTAGTTACTCAAAAGTAATTGAATGACTTTACCTATTACTACATGTAAAAGTAATTAGTTACAAAGTAAAGTGACTTCTGTGTTTCATTTTAAATGTCTGTGTCAATTCTCTTATAAATACACACAGCAGTACCTAATAGTAATACAGCTGTCAGATATATTATTTTAGTGTTGCTGTGGGACAATACAAATGTATTTAGTCATTACTGCTACTGCTGGGCAGCAACGACTAGCTTTCTTACCTATAAGCCTATTGTCTTGGTACTTACTGTGTTATTGCCCACATGGATGTAAACATTAACTGAGCTTTGCTACAGCAGTTAGTTAATAAATAATTATTTGATGAACAGACTGAACTAACAGGGCACTGTAAGGTTGGTGCATTAGATCATAAACCAGAAAATCAAGAGGTTACTTAAGTTAAGTACTTAAGTCTGCCTTCTTCTGCAGTTGTCCACTATTTTCAGGTAAGACAAAAGTAACGAGTAACAAGCCTATTTTAAATGACTAGTTACTGCCAAACTGTACTGTACTGTGACTGTAGTGGAATTACAATGACAAAATACTTTATAACACATTACTCCCAACACTGCCCAGGCTACATGGTTGTCAACATGATGTAAGACAATTAATTGTTACAAGGATGGATGCTATAAAAAAAAAGAATTATGGATATGTTTACTTATGCCACTTTTGGGGACATTACATAGACTCACATCAACACAAATCAGCGTTTTTCTAATTGGGTCCCCAGTTGGACAAACCATCACCAATTAACTGGTCTTTAGTCTGAAATGTGTCCCCAAAGGTAGTCTAAGTCACATGGACACAGACAACACACACACACACACTTTCTCTTTGCCTATTTCTTATGCTCTCTCCCTGTCTTTCTCTCTCTGTCTCTGAGCAGCCTGAGAACCTGCTTTACTACAGCACAGATGAGAATGCTAAGATCATGGTCAGTGACTTTGGTCTGTCTAAGACGTTGGAACACGGTGTCATGTCCACAGCCTGTGGTACACCAGGATATGTTGGTGAGTTTTTGGGGAGGGCCATACACTGTCCCCTTGTTATCTATACCTGATATAAAATTGTACTTTTAAATAATGAAAAAGGATATCTCTCAATATAATTCAAGAGTAAATGTATATTCCACTGTTATTTGAAAGGTATATCTATGGTGAAAAGTTAAGAGGAATCATTTAAGTTACATTATACAGTGTGATTATACAGATCAAAATATTCAAGACTAATTCATCTAGTAGTTGTAGTATAGTAGTATGCTACTACAATAAATATGTATTAGCAGGTGGCAGTCATAAACAGGTTTATGGAAACATTTTAAATCCCAACAACAATAATATTACAGGACATCTATGGTAAAAGTAATCAGTTTTGAAGTGCTTCTTCTTGTAATGTTACCTGCATAAGCCATTATTGTGTATCATTCTGCAGCCCCTGAGGTTCTGGCCCAGAAACCCTACAACAAAGCAGTGGACTGCTGGTCCATTGGAGTCATCACTTACATCCTGTGAGTTCTGTTCTCTGACAGTAACACATCATTGTATATGACTGTTCATGAATAGTCATTACAGACTAGAACACTGAGAGGATATATTAGTTCTGGAGATATTTTCCCCACTATAAGCTTACATTTGAATGTTTAGGATATATTAGTTCTGGAGATATTTTCCCCACTATAAGCTTACATTTGAATGTTTACTTTCAATTATAACCTAAAGAAACATATCCTGCATACCTGGATCATTTGTGAATACTAGAGACTCTGTGAAACCAGAGTGGACCAGGAACGAAACACTGCACCATAGCACCTACAGTTATCCAAAATGGAACCAAAATGTAGATGTAAAGTAAAGGATTTAAAAACAGTGGATATAAAGGGATCAGCTGAGTGAGGTTGTCTCTGTGTTGCAGGCTCTGCGGCTACCCTCCGTTCTTTGAAGACAACGAGACTCGTCTGTTTTCAAAGATCATGAGAGCTGAGTACTCTTTTCATTCACCCTTCTGGGACGACATCTCTGAGTCAGGTATGGAAACAGCAGGGAACATCTCAGTCTTCATAAAACCCCTGCACTCTCTCTTTTGTACTTCCATTTTTAGACATTGATAATCCAAATGACTGTGTCTAATATCTCAATATATTTCACAAGCTTTGCAATAATGTTAGCTTTGAGTTTTGACTCTGTGTTGTGGTGGTTGTCGTTTGTTTGTAGACATTAGCGGACTCCATTTGTAAGCTAGTGTTAGCTAGTGTTGCACACTGTTGACGCTGTAGGGAAGCAGAGAGAGAAGACACTTGGGAGCGCGCATAAATGTGACATCCTGAAACCCTTATATAGAAATCAGTCCACAGGCTGTTACAGGCAACCGAAAAAGCCAGGGGAGGTCAAATTTAAGTTACATTACAACCCGTTCACAAAATTGGCAGTAAATAGTGATTAATACATAAAAATAGAACATAAAATGAAGACCTGGCTTGAATTGAACAATGTTTGAAAGGGAAGTGTCATGTTAATGTACAGGATAAGGTCAACTTGCATCAGGACCTGCAATATTCTTACAAAGGGACTTACCTTGAAACCTTGAAATGGTTAACTTCAGTGTTAGCTAAGTATGGATCAGGATTTGTTCATATATCCTTAGAGCTTAACCTAATATAGACCAGCATACCTTGTGACAGCATCTGCTGAGGACAGCTATAGTGGTTTGACCTGTTTGGATTAGGTCATGTATGGCCACTCTAGATACCAAATGGACAGGGGCAGTTCTCGCCTGCTTGGGGGATTAAATTATCTTGTATTAAGAGACATGTCAAATACCGAATAATACCAAAAATATTTGTAATTATTTCTGTGAAGGACAGGCGGAATAAAAAAATGAATAAAACCTGAATGGAATTGCAAAAATGGCCAGAAACACTGGGACTGTGCTAAGAACCAGGGACTAGAACACAAATACATTTTTTAAGTAGAAGTAAATTGTGTATCCATGAGGGGTCTGATCTTAATATGATCATCAATCTGAGCATTGTATTGTGACTTTTGTAAGAACTTGAAACGGAAGAAAAAGTATTATTGACTAGAGAAAGTCTTATCATCCACATAATGGTCAAGCCTAAGACACTGTTCAACATTATGCAGTGTCTCATTTATACCGGCTGTTATCCAACACACAAGCATGAGCTTTTCTATAAATGGGCTTCATTCTGCGCAGCACTTTACTTTGCATTTAACGTCATATACAAGTCATAGCTTTGTTTTGTCGGTAGGGGTAAAAGTCTTGCAACTCTACTTTAACATCAGTGACTCAGCCTTTTGACTTGAAAATATTTGATACCTTCCCCCAAGGCCAAAGATTCTAAAGTATGCTATTTCTAATGCGTTACAATTCATTTCCTGAGTGAAATGTTAATGCTATTAATTCCCAGCAAGTCGACACTTAATTCCCCAGGTCCACTTAGTTTGAACCAATCAGACAGAATCCAATCAAGTCCACAAGAACCATGAAGAGCTAACGTTACATTACTGAGCACCAGCTGGAAAAAATTATACCTAAGATAATTTTGATTTGTTCATTCTGTTGTTAAAATGACATTACAATTGGTAAAGAGTGCATTATGACTTGCTTAGGACTTACTTACTTGCATGACATGCAAAACAATGAATTGGTCCCACCTCTGCAATTCATAAATGTATAGATTGATTCCATTTTTATGAAAATTTAAATCACGTAAAAACAGTTGCTTTTTGCATAACATTTGTGTAATGGAAATAAACATAATGTCACTGTCAGTACTGAATTTTTTCTCCCTGCCATATCTTAACAGCCAAAGACTTCATCAGGAATATGATGGAGAAAAACCCCACAAAACGCTTCCTTACAGAACAGGCACTCAGACACCCCTGGTTAGTCCTTTCTCTTTCACACACACATGCACAAACACAATGCTTTTTTGTTTTCCAGATGAATTAATGTCTTTGACTTGTTTGCAGGATTGCTGGAAACACAGCTAAAGGCCTCGACATTTATCAGTCAGTCAGTGAACAGATGGAGAGAAACTTTGCCAAATCCAAATGGAAGGTAAGTGACACTGTTGGCTCATGGACTACTTCATATTGCAACTGCGTTTGTTCTATTAGTTATAGGCAGCCAAAATACTGTAAGCAAACTGTAGCAATCAACAAATACAAACAAGAACAGTGTATGTAGCAATATTTTAGCAAAATATGGATATTAGGAACACACTGACCATGTGAACCGTGGATTATACTGCAGTCCAGTTGTTTTTTACAGCTTGTCACCATCCATTCCGCATTGTAACCGTTATAAATTCAGACTGATTACATGAGGGAAAAAACTGTAGTTTTTTTTAGTGAAGCAAGGAAGGTGCGATCTAGAACTACACTAGATGCCACTAATTCTACATACTGGACCTTTAGATAGGATTTTTAGTCTTAAAAATGGATTGGAATAATGAAGTTACTTGTATAATTACAAAGTCTGTCTTTTAAATGGGAAAACATTTTATTGATAATGCTGTAACAACTACAAAATTAAACTGACATGGAACCAATACACATTTTCCTTCATATACTTTAAATTTAAATTTTTTCCAGTCTGGCCAATAAGTCTTAAATTGCATTCATAATGGTTTTTAAAAGGCCTTAAAACCTCAAAAACTTGTTGAAACCAGCAGAAACCCTGTATTAACCTGAGCATCACATAGACTGTATCCTTAGTAATTCAAGACACGTGTCATGTTATACATAGACAGCACCAGCATAACTTTGTTTCTTTTTATGTGCATTTCCAACAGCAAGCCTTCAACGCAGCCACAGTAATCCACCACATGAAGAAACTGCAGTTGTCCCAGAGGGAGCCCACCCCCTCTCCCCTTTCTATGCCCCATATTTTAGTAAATTCCTCCTCCCAGAATGACCTGGAGACCCTGGAACCCAGCCACGATAAGGCTAATGTCCTCGACCCAAACGGGAATCACATCCATGCTGCCAGTCATCTTTCCTGCAGTAATAAAGGTGTTTTTCCACCAATGAGAGCCAGTCACAGTGAGCCTGGCAATGCCCTCGCCGTCAATGAGACAGGAGAAGTCAATAACTTCCATTCAGAGATCGATGCTCCTTTCAGGCCATCCAAGAGGTAAGAGCTGCTACCCAGTCATTAAAATCTAAAAAGAGATTTCCTTGCTATTTCAACAATAAAGTTCAATCAATGGCAGAAATGTTGTCCTGAGTAAGTAAAAAAATCTAATTGGATTTTTGTGAAACTTAATTTGAAGCCATTCTACCTATTCTCCCAGATCATTGTTTACTTTAAAAATAATTATGCCATGTTTGTAAATTAAAAAGAGCTGTGGTTCAAGAAAGGAGCCTTGAGGTACCCCACAAGTGATTATACGGTAGAGGTATGCTTTTTAACAGTGACATATAGTCTATGTTATGAATAATCAACAAATTTACAAATATTTGCGAACATCACCTTTTGGTGGTAATTCATCAAGCAAGTGGTGAAAGCATTTTTAGAAATAGTCCAAGAATATTTTGTTCATTTAGAGCTTTGGATAATATATCTCCAGTATGCTTTATAACATTATCATAGAAGTTGAATCAACTGTATTGACAAACAATATTGTTCAAATGCTTTATAAGTCTATTTAAGTTTTGAGGTTTGGTGAAGCTAGTTGTTTTTTGGGGCATTTTCTGGGTGAATATATTGATAAAGGAATAATACTTTCCAAGGATGGAAACAGCATAGAGCAAGAAATAAAGTTGAAAAGTAAAAGTATTGAAAAAGCTGTTTATAACTTATTAAAGCTGCAGTAGGTCATTTTATAAAAAATATTTTCTTCAGGTTCCTCTGGCCCCTCCTAATCCTAATCCCTCCTAGTGCTCCTAATGGCATTTGCAAGAATCAACTGGGCCTGAACGAAAACAACCAATCAGAGACAAGAAAGATAGTTGATCGTTGAGTCTCATTCCCAGGTCGTCAAATACAGACGCTTTGGGACACCGTGATCAACAATCAACTATCTTGTATTATTTCTGATCCTTCTCTCAGTCTTTATGACGGTGTTATTAAAATGAATCCTGGTTGTGTGATGTGTTGCAGTATGGATGCTGTGGCTCAGAGGAAGGAGCAGCCACTTCAGTCCGGTGTGTGTTCTGTCATGTGAATGGCTGGCTAACCCAAGATAAATATCATGCAGGTAAAGAGTCTCTCTCTGGAATTTAGATTTCGGCTTTACAATAACTGATTCAAACTGATAACTCGTTTTCAAAACTCTCATTTTTTCAGTTGATGGCACTCAGTGGCATCCATCTTGGTATGAAGGCACTGATACGTCTACTGCTCAGCTTTTTCATGCCTGGTGTGGTTCTCTGCTGCGGAAAACGCGTTCCATCGACAGTCATACAGTGACTACACTGTGAAAGAAACTAGTAAACATGGAATGACTGTCTATATGCAGCGAACGCCACATTAAACAGACAGAAACAGGAATTCCTAATTTAGAATTCATACAAAACTCTGTAACGTTGATGACATGCATTTCCTCAAAACTATTATTATCTATTGTATATTACTGTCAGAATGTTATTAAATATCATCAATTGAAAATGTATTTATTTTGAATAGTTTAGCTGACACTTGCAATGTGAAAGCTGAGTTTTTTTAGACTGAACTGGCTGTACTTGGCTTATACGTTTTTATAAAACTGAGCTATTTCAGGCTCTGATACTTCAGGGTCAAGTCATTTGTTTGCTCTGCATATCAAGATACTTGATTTACATTAACAGTTGGTCACTTGAAAAATCCGGGAATTTACCTGTGTTTGTGTTTGTTTGGACAGTTTTCAACCTTGCAGGCAGATTTTTGGACATTATTATATATTTATATTTATGATGGATTGCATTGAGGGATTATAAATCTGACTTCCACCTCACACAAGGGTGATGGAGAAAATTGTATTTATGAGATTAAACTTTATGCTGAGGTGGAGTCATGGTCACACGGGAGCCCAGTGTTTGCTGTGTTTTCTTTGACATGTACATAAGCTGCTCTCTTGTTAAACAACTGAACTCATTAAGTGCCACAAGCTGATATAAAGATGCTGTCAACACTACTGATGTCATTTCTGAATTCACAAATGTAGTGACAAAAATGTTTTTTCTTTTTGTATCATTTTCTCAATAAATATGTAGTAACTAGACTTTCTGCTTCTTCTTGTGTTGAATGAACAGCTGCTGAATAGCTGCTACACCTGGCTGGCCTTAAGACAGAATTCAAAGTATTAATAGGCTTTTATTTAAATACTAAGGATTCTGCACAAACAAAAGATACAAAACAGACAAATAAATAATGAAACATTCACCCTCTCTCCAGTTCCAAGTACAATAATGGAGTGTTCACAATGGAGTGTATTGCTACTGACACAATTGTTTCTGTTGGCTCTGTGCAGGGCTGTGAGAAATGTTAAATGTTAAATGATATTGACAAACTCACAATATCACAGTGTTTTTCTACCTATATAATGTACCATCATTAAAGGACCACCCTCATCCCTGTCGCTACATTGAGATTGTGACTTATCACTACTCTTTAAAGGTTATATATATGAGTTTTAATTTGCTATATAGTGGAGACATGGTGTCCTGAACAGAGAATGGTGACACACTCCCTCTTCCTGTGTTGCTATTGCAGCCTCTCTGTGGTTTGTTTCCATAGCCGATAATATGTGAGGTAAAATTACAGTTTTTGTCTATGGAGTACAATGCTGTCAGTGGCAACAACAACTGTTAGTGGACTTACTTTGACAGGCGCATTTGTCCCTAAGGATGAGCTTGGTGCAAAAGATTGTGGAAAGACTAACAAAGATGGTATTGCGTGACAACGTGTGTTTTCTGATTATCTGCGAGGTAAAATGAATGTCTTGTCAGTGGAGTCTGGTCAGCAGTAGTGCCCATTGTTTTGCTCAGAGATGCTGGTGCTCTAGTGGCAAGTGAACTTCATATATACAACCTTTAATGCAGAACATATTCAAGGAGTTATTATATGATGAAGAGTAGTCAACATTATCTTAATCCCCAGAAATGATTTCCTACATTTCCCACAGTTCTTTGATCACTGCCAGAGAAGAGGTGCAATGTTATGGAGAAGAGTTGTAATGGTGTTCCAAAGTCAGGGAGGAATCCTCCTGTCGTAGAGTGAAGACAGCAGAGATGTGAATGGCATGTTAGGCTGGTATAAAGTGTTGTAGTGACAGCAGCTGCAGATCTGGCTCCGGCGGGCAGCTTGGAGACTTTCAGCCCTGGCAGATGCTGAGGTCGTGGGCTTTTGTTCGAAGTTTTTCCAAAAGGTCTTTAACCTTAGCATCAAGTCCTTCAAGCTTTGTTGACTTCTGGAGGATTTCGTCCTGCAGTCTCCTGAGAGAATCTCCCTTACCTGGAAAAAGACCAGTGTGCAGGGATATAAAACACTGCAAATCCCATAATATCCAGTCACAGGACCAGAACTCAAACTGATAACAGGGAAATTAGGAGATATAATGACCTGTCAGTTCATGAATATTCTACAAATGGATGTTTGTAGGACCTCAAAGGACCTGAGGACTTCCTTTTGAATTTGAGAGTGATGTTTTTTAAAGACATGTGTGTTGGTGGTGTGGTTACCTTCCAGAGCCTCCATCATGCTGTCAGTGGTGTTGACTAGAACTCCAGCATCCTTCTGCAGCTTCGCCAGTCGATCCCCCAGCGGCCCCGCGTCTCCACCTGACCCACTGGCTGCAGCCTCATCTTTGAGACGATCCAATTGCTTCGCCAACGCCAACAGGTCCTAAAACACACACACACACACACACACACACACACACACACACACACACATTTGTGAAAAACTCATTCATTCTAATTTCAACTCTCCGACTTTATCAAGCAACTTCAACAGGGTTCAACCCATCTGCAACCACTGTGGCTGCAAATTAAGCAACATGGAAGTAATAAAACCTGCAGTTCCTCTACTGGCCACTTGAGGCTGGCTCCAGCAGTGAGTCAATCTCCATAAGGCCCCGTATTAAAATGTCCAACTTTACAGCAGAAATAAAAAAAATGTAAAAGTCAATATTCCAAACTGGAGCAGCTACAGCAGGTCCCTCACCTCTTTTGCAGAAGCTGCTTCATCCTCTGCGTTGTCTGCATTTTCCTGTGCGTCCTGGGCCTTCTCGCCAACATTCTGCAGCAAGTCATTGAGCTTGTCCAGTTGTGGTTTCATTGGGTTTATCAGTGACGATACTTCATCCAGAGCCTTCTCTGCCGGACTCAGCTGGGTTTTGGCCTGCAAGAAGAGGAACCGCTCTAAAAGTCAGTAACGCTTCTGACTAACTGGAATCAGTGAGCCACCATGTCATCCACTGTTTGGTGTATCTGTGCTTCCTACCTCAGTCAGGCTTTTGTTCAGGTTGTCTATGAGATCCATGCTGTTCTGCAGTTTGTCCTCCAGGTCAGACAGGGAGCCCTCCACCGAGCCGAAGCCTGCAAGCAACCCATCCACGTCGGCCTTCACTCCCAGTGCCGTGTCCCTGTGAATGTGCAAACAGTGTGTGATAATTATCACTACAAAGACATAAGAGAGCACTGAGACTCATCAGAATCAGAATCAGAGGAAGGAACTTCAGAAAGACCACAGCATTTTGTTTCTGTTCTGGTACACTAATCTGCTAACATGGAGAGGGCGGGGTTTATGACCTTTGCTGCAGTCATCCACTAGGGGGCAATTGATTTTTTTTTTTTTTTTAAAACACACACCCCCCCCCCCCCCCCCCCCCCCCCCCCCCCCCCCCCCCCCCCCCCCCCCCCCCCCCCCCCCCCCCCCCCCCCCCCCCCCCCCCCTGTGTCTTTCCCTTTTGATGATGAGCCATGTTTTTCAAAATAAAAGCTCAAGATAGTAAGTAACTATCTCAACTGGAAACTCACAATGAGGCTGTCCTTTCAAAATAAAGAGTAGTTGTATCACAGGAAACTAGGGAAGGACATAATTTTTTCATCCAGGCCTTTTAAAATGTTGTGAATGTGCAAATCTGATAACTGTTTGAGAAAGCACCATCAAGTATCAGTTAGAGTAGTCTATCCTAGAGTGTGAAGGCCCACCTGGCATCCTGGGCTTCCAGCAGCAGCTTCCTGGCTGCATCCAGCTGTGGTTCTGCCTCATTCAGCACAGCTGTGCTGTCTGGCAAATTAGCCGCCAGATTCTTCAGCTCATCCAGCTTCCTCTGTAGAGCAGCCAGACTGAGAGGCAGTTTGGCTTTCAGGATCCAGTCGCTCACCTCCTGGATGTGGGTCAGGTTAGAGGACGGGTCTGCACAGAAAGAAAGATTTATCCATTCAAAAATCAGCCATTATTACTGAAACTAAGTGAACATTCCTGCCATATATCAATCCAATCACACATCTGCCCTCTGCACTAAAACAATCTTTACCTGACAGGAAGTCTTTGAGCTCTTTCACAACATCACGAGTCTCCTTTAAGTCATTTTCTAGCTCGTCTCTGGTCGCCTTCATCTTATTGGAGAGCTTCTCTGCAGATTGTCTCACCTGATTGGTTGTCTCCTGTGTCTCCTGGAGCTGTGAGGAGTTGAAATGAATTTATATCATGCTTTAGAATCTATAACATTCTTTAAAATTTTTAAATTGAACATGCAGCAGAAGTGAGCGTGTCTGCACCTTCTCTGCAGCCTCTGTGATCTTCCCACTGAGCTCTTCCAGCCGCTCTTTCACATCCTTAGCGTCCGTGTCAGCCCTCTTGCTCAGAGGCAGGGCACCCATGCACTTCTCCCCCTTTTTGCAAGGTGGGCTTCCCTCTGGTGGACACAGATCTCCACCCTCACACTTGAAAGGGGTGCAGGGCTCTGAGCGGACACTGCCACATACCTGTAAAGTCACAGTGTTGTGATTTAAAGGGCAAATACAGGAGCTAATGGTCCCATTGAACAAAAGTAATACAATTCTCAATATAATAATATCTCAATAACTTCTGACCAGATTGCCTCAAAATATGCAATGAATGATCTGTCATTTTTTAAAAAAGAAATCAGGTTCCTCTGGCTCCTCTTAGTGCTCCTAATGGCATCCACCGGGTCCAAACAAAACAAACTAATTTTCTAAATGGGACGATTAATTGGTAAATGGTAAATGGACTGTCGCCTTAACGCCTCTCTAGTCTTTCGACCAGTCAATGTGCTGTACACTACATGCCACACTCCATTCACACACATTCATACACTGATGGCAGTGGCTGCCATTCAAGGTGCCAACTGCTCACCATAACAGAAACTAAGCATTCACACACACTCATAGGGAGCAATTTAGGGTTCAGTATCTTGCTCAAGGACACTTTGACATGCAGCAAGAGGAGCCTTCCGATTCATGGATGACCCGCTCTACCTCTGAGCCACAGCTGCCCGATTAATGGTGGCACAGATGCATACAGTGTGATGTAAACAGATAAACGGACATTAACAGAAACTGATTTGCTAAACGTGACCTACCTGTTTGGCAGCAGGTGTGAGGTCAGGTCGGGAAGCCATGCTCTGGTTCAGTTTGTCCAGGTCTCTGGTGTTGGCTGGTTGTACTCGGTTCTGAAGGTCCAAAGTGTCCTCTCTGACATTAGCGGACTCCTTCACCGTGTTCCCGGTGGCATCGACCTTCTTAGCCGCATCTGTAGACTCATCGTAGGCGTGCTTGATGGCATCAAACGCTCCTAAATAGGACAGAAACAAAATATTCAACATATATTTCCTGCTGACGCCATATCAGAATGTAGTTCTACTCAAACCCAGAGTGTGATTATGCCCTATTTCAAGTTTTATTGGTAGCTTAATGCAGTAATTCATTTACCACTTGTAATCAGTCATCACCAAAACTGTCTCTGTTTCTGACCTGCATTGTTAGGATTGACAGAATTCTTCGTTGCATCTTTCTTGGCTTTGTACTCTACAGTGAGGCGGTCCAGCAGATCCCGTAGTTTGTCTAGCTCCATGTCCAGACCAGGAATCCTTTCCAGAGGTGGAAGGTTATTGTTAACCATGTCCACCTGGTCCCTGTAAGACAGAAATCAGAGTGGTTCAGTTACACTGAGTGAGGTTCCATCCAAGAGTGAGAACCGAGTGAAAGACTTCAGGAATGTCATCCACTAACATCCAATGATGATGGAAATCTTTATAAAGAGCAGATTTTCATTTTTAAAAAATTGTAATTAAAATCCAAATTCTCAGCTGTCCCTCACCTGAGCTTGTCCAGCTGGGAGAGAGCATTATCGATCTGTCTGCCAGTACTGGGTGGAAGGGAGATAGAGTTGCGGATCAGGTTCAGGCTGTCCTCCAGGGCAAAGATGCGCGGCCCCAAATTTCCAAGATTAACTCCGGTACCAGTAGGGAAGCTGAGCCTCTCCAGGGCTAAGCTCATGTTCTGTCTCCGGGCGTCTAGGGTGAAGAAGCAGGATGGACATGTCTCGCAGGCAGGGAAGGAGTCACAGTGCCCCTGGCTGCAGGAGTCGCAGCGGGCCCCGCTGACCCCTGGCCGGCACAAGCAGGTTCCTGTCTGCTTGTCGCAGACTTCTGGAAGGGTTCCTTCAGCATCACACCGGCACGCTGTGGAGGAAGAGACGAGAAGAGTAGGATTTTGATGAATAAAGACAAATAAAAGACAATAAAATAAAGAAACATCAGTGATAAAAAAGTATGAAAACCAGTGTATAAAAACCAATCATCAATTTGGCAAGACAAAAAATGACTACAATCAAATATCAAATAAAAAAAGTCCATTAAATAACACAAGGGATAAAAGAGTAAGACTGTCTTGCTCATAATTAAGCAATACCTCTAATTTGAACTGTGAACATATTAGAAAGACTTAAGTTATTTGGACACTGTTATTGTGTTAAGGAATTAATAAGTGCTTCATAATAACGAATAAAGAGCTAATATTCTACTAATATGCACGCTAATAAGCAACTAGATGGTGAATATGTGTACCTTAATATAAAGTGTTACCCTTTACTAAAATGGCAAATACTTTTACCACGACTCAGACAGCAAACTAAACTACAACCTCGGATGAGCCATGACTGCATCTCAGCAATCCAACAAATCAGAGAGTGCTGACTTACGTTGGCATCCTACGAGAGGGTCTCCATATGTGTTTTTGGGGCACTCGATACATGTTCGGCCTCCAAAGCCTGGTCTGCACTGACACTGACCTGTTACCTGAAAGGAAGGACACAGAACATGTTGTACACCACTGTATTTTCATTCATAAATTCATAAATGTTAATAACAGTTAGCTACATACTGGACTTAATAAAGTTTGTCCTCATTGTCATATTTTATCACCAGTTTGCAAAAGCCTCCCCTCAACATTTATCAATTTTTTTTAAATCAATATTCTTACATGAGATTACTAAATATGGTTGTGAATTACTAAGATTTATTTTAGAGTACTGAAATTTAATTCAACATTTTTGTTTTGTTAATGGAACACACTCGTATTGTGGGAAATAATTGCCATCTTTCGCAGAGTCAGTTGATAAAATTAAAACATTAAAACATTTTGGGCTATATATGTTTTTAAAATATTTTCAAGGGATCAACAAAGGATTCATTTGCAACCGTTTTATAATTACCAAATCAATGAATTTATTAAGGTTATATATATGTGAGATTTAGAACATTAGTATAGCAGCAAAAAACTATTTAAACTATGTAAAGATACAGTGGAACTCGCTCTATTTTGCTTTCGCAGCCTCTCTGTGGTTTGTTTTCATAGCCGGTCTGCTCCGCGTGCAGCTGAGTAGAGCGACTGAAACTGCTGTTTTTATCATCTACGTCGCTGAATGAATGATTTATTTCTACCAAAGCACAGTTAGTGATTGTTGGAACAGTGGAAAGGCTAACAAATACAGTTTTGGTGAGTTTTATGGAGTCTGGTGGAGAGTGATATTATGGGTGTTTCTGGTTAAACTAAAGCTCTATCACTGTAGGGATCCTTTCCATACTGTTGTCAGACACTGAGATTAATAATCTGAGCCTGTCAGTGGCAACAACAACTGATAGTGGACTTAACTTTGACGGGCACCTTTGTCCCCAAGGATTAGAAGGATAGAAAGACTGAATTTCATATAGTTTTATTCCAGTTTGAAGTGTGTTCTATGATTATGTGCCACTGCTAGGTAAAATAACTGGTTTTGTCAGTGGATTCTGGTGGGCTGTGGTGCCCGTTACCCGTTAGCTTTGCTCTAGAATAACTTTCAGTTTTACGGACAAAACAAGCAACATGAAGATGTCAACTTGGTCTGGGGCTGGGCTATAGGTTGGTGGGTAGAGGTCATACCTGGTCACAAGTATCACTGTGTGACCTGGTGGGGTCACAGCTGCAGGGCTCACAGCGTCCTGACAGGATTGGTTTCCAGTAGCCTTTTGAACACGCTTCACAGGTCAGGCCGTGGAAGTGGGGACGACAGGGACACTGGCCGGTCACTGGGTCGCAAACATCTGACAGTGACCCGTCCTGAGAACAGGAGCATTCTGGAGAGCAGAGTTAGGAGTTAGGAACAGGCACTGGAGACTTTGATCAGATTAGTAACAGTGGTAGTAAAAGAGTGTTTCAATACAGGCAACCTCGATTTTTGGAATCCAAAACAGACAGGGCTGAAAGGAGAAGACTGCGGTGTTACAAAATGTGATATGAGAGAGTTGGAGGACTCACTGGAGCAGCCCAGAGGGTTGGAGGCGCTCAGGCCGTAGTAGCCTCTCTTACATCGGTCGCAGCGGGGACCCTCGACATTCACCTTACACTGACACGAGCCTGTGCTGTCGTCACACCGGCCCCCATTCACTGTCCCCTCAGCACTGCAGATACAGCCTGGCAGCAGCAAAACAACAAGCATGAGCCACTCATCAAGGGTTGTATCCACATACTGCACACTTCTGAAGCATGTCACTGAAAGATTTTGATGTGTTGCACTCTCTACACCGGTGTGTAAATTTTACTAACAAACCACTTACGTATGCAGGCGTCAGGGCGGTCCATCCGGCTGCGGGGGTTCGGCTGGTAGCCTGGTGCACACTGGTCACACTTCAGCCCTGTGGTGTGGTGCATGCAGTCCTCACACACACCACCACTCCTCCTGCCGCTGGCTTCGTACACCGCCTGGTCAAAACGACAGCGCTGGGCGTGGTTGTTACACTCACAGCCTGAGGAAGGGGCACAGGGATTAGGTTGGTAGATTTGGTTGGCACGAAAAGACAAGGCATTCCTCTTGACAAAATATTTTACAGATAGACAAACATTAAAAAGTACCATGATAAAAGTTATCCAGTCTCTACAAAACAGCTCTTACAAAGAGAGCAATAATAAAAAGGAAAGATGCGGGTAAAAACCCAACCCAGACTTATCCCAAAGACACTTCATATACAAAAACAAACAGAAAACTACTCTGACATGATGGAGGCTCCAAAACAGAACAATGTGTGATATGTGTGACATTTCTTTGTATACTTAGTTTCATTTGATGTGGGCTCAGATGGTTTGTGGTGAATGTGGCATGTAGCGTAAAAGCACTTTAAGTGGTAGGAAAATTGAATTGAATTGAATTGAATCTACGGTAGACCACTTACTTATTTTGAGAAGAGGGCAGGAAGAGGGCAGGTAATATAAGACAATAAAATAAAAAGACCCATCTTTATTGAAAGTCACTCATTTTCTTTCCAGAAGAACATTTACTTCAGCTTCCTGCAATGTGGGCCATTACTGCACTGATTTGATTCGTTTTTGAAGTGTATTCTGGTATGTATTCTGCTTAACTCAACGGTGTCTGAGCCTTGTTACAGAAGCTTCCTCCATGTTTTTTCTAGATGTGTGACAGGTGTGGGTGAAGTCTTACGTTGGCAGGTGTGAGTGTTGCCCTCCTCTGCGGGTCTCCAGGGCAGATCATTGTAGAGATCAGCACAGCGCTCACAGTTCACACCTGCTGTGTTATGCTGGCATTCACACTGAGGATTCACCTGCAGAGCACACAGGAAAAAGACTTGTCACCAATCCATCCCAGCAAGCATTGCAAGTGAAATAAATATACATTATAGCGTGCATCGACCTGCTGTATCTCAGTATGGGAATGAAATCCATAGCAGGTTTCAGTAGTAGTTAATAATAGGTTAATCAATATCTTCTTTCCCAAAGGTGGAACAAGACTCTAATTGTTCTTGAAGCCAAGGCTCTCTGATGGGAAACAAGTGAGTTGTATTTGTTTTGCTTGTTTTAAAATCATTTTCTATAACTGCAGTTACAGTCTTTATTCATTATTTCTATATTATTATCTATAAATTTGGTTTATTCCGTATGTCTCTGAAAGTTGATCTGATTTTTGTAATGAATATGAGCAAAAGATGGACTCATAATGCCTCTTTGTTCCCATTCACACTTTAAAAGTATTACATTTGAAGAGTTTTCAGTTTATTCTTGTGACTGTTTCTCCTCAGCCTACAAGAAATTGCCTCCCTGTTGTTGCTGATACATCTTCTTTCACCACCTCCCAGGTGTCAAGTCTCCAAAAACTATTAAGGTGATTATAATGTCACATCACTTTCTTGGCCACATGTGTAAATTAGAGTTGTTAAAAAGTGAATTCAATTGTTTTCACAGGCTTTCCTTTCTAACACTAGCCAGGGAGATGGTTGAGTTAACACTTCAATATTGTAGTTTTCTCTCTCTGTTTCCTTATCTCAGCCTTAGTCATGCTACAGTTTGGAGGATCATCTCTGCAACCAGCAGGATCAACAACCATACCTCCTAGCTGTTGAGCGTCAGAAGAACTGGATTGACAGTTTCTACATCACCATGGATAAGCATCTCATAAGCCATTTGATGAACATTTCAAAACACATTTTGCCTTTAATTTGTGTGATTTATATGATGATGATATATGATGATATATATATATTATATGATTGTGCATTGTTTTACACATGAAAGGCAAAAATAATTGTTATTTTTGATTGAGGTTATTGTAATTAATTGTTATAATATAATAATATATTACATTTTTTTCAGTGTAGATTTTACACTTAAAGGGAGTAAAATTAACTCCACCCAAACAGTAAAAAATGTCACTCAGAGCAGTGTTATGTTGTATTACTCTTTTGCGAGTTAAAGAAGGCAAAGTGTTAAATGTTTAATTATTTCGAAAGTGTTCATTTAACTGTGAGTGTGGAGCTATATAAACCCTGAAGAAGTGTTGAAATCAACCCTGTGGGAGTTAATTCAACACTGGACTTTTTGCTGTGTACCTTGCTGTAGGTCTCTGGCAGGCATCGGTTGGCGTGTCCGTGGCACATGCAGCTACCCATCACCCTCATCTCCTTGAGGGCATAAAATCTACTGAGAGCTCTGCCTGGGAGACGTGGCACATCGCCAAGCTCTGTCAGCCTCACCCTCAGCCCCGTCAACCCGGACACAACTGTGGAAGAGACAGCGGTGAGTCAGCGGGCCACGGCCTTTAACTCAAGACCAAAACACTCATGATCCAGGAAGTCATTACAGATGGAGACTTACCTTCAATTTTTTGGCTGTTTGGAGCCTGGACATAAGTATACTGACGCAAAGGACTGAACTGGATCTGGAGGACAGGAAAAATATACAGAATTAAAATTATGAAGCTAATATCAAGAAATTGAATTTGGTGTGATTTTATGCCCAAAAGCAACAACATTTATTTTCCTGCTGCACTAAAATATGGTTCTCTTATGGTGAGGACATCTCAGAATATTCTTCAGTAATTAAAGAGAAATGTGGTGAAAACACAAAAGCAAATAAGCTCCTTCAAAGTAACTATAATAAAAAAATTCTAAATTATAACCTGACAAAACTAAACAGGGCACAACAGATAGGTTGCGCTTACTGTGTGATCTTGGTATGGGTTTGCTCCAGTAGGGGGCAGTGTGTAGCAGTATTTTTGGTCCATGGTGAGAGGTGTTGCTGTGGGGATGCCAGGAAACGCTGTTGCACAGTCGGTAGCCAGGTGGAGAGCGGGCTGCCACGTCCTGCCATGGTCCAGCGTCCTCTCTATAACAAAGGCACTGGGACGAGGACCCTGCAAAGGACAAAAGGTGAATAAAGAACATAAGAGGACTATAAATACAAATACACATTTATCAAACTTAAAAAAAAATAAAAAGTGATCCTGCAGACTGTATCATACCTTGAAGCTCAGCACAAGGTTGTCAAGCTGGAACAGGCTGTTGAGGTCCAGCTGGAGACTGACTGGATTCAGTTCTACAGGACAAACAGGCAGAGCACTAATCCATCAGCTACACTGCATACTGTACGCAGCACCGCAGTTCACAGTGTACAGGGGGCAAAGCAAATATACCAATTCACTACTGCCAATAGAAAGTTCTACCTTTCCTTCTTTCTTTCACTCCTACCAATACAAAAGCTAGCTTCTTCCTTTCTTCATTGGTTTCTTTCTTTCTTTCCTCATTTCTTTCTTTCATTCCTGCAAACATAAAAGCTTTCTTTCTGTCTTTCTTTTGTCCTTCTTTCTTCATTCATTTCTTTCTAGAAAAATAACTTATTGCACTGAGCTCTTCTTTCCAGGAAGACAAATCTGGTGATACAACATTATCTCCTTTTTGATTTTGATTTAAATTATTTCTGTCTCTCTTTCTGTCCTTGTTTCTGTCTTTTTCCCACCTTTCCTGGATTGCCACCATCTGTCTGGTCCAGAAGTGGACAGGACATCCTGGACAGTGTGGGCCAGCTGACTGTTTGGGTTCCTTGAGTCACATGGACAACACTTCATCCTCCTCTGAGACACAAAAAACAAACAAACAAACAAACAAATCATTAACAGACATTCCTGCAGAGTTACATGGTAATATTTGGTGTATGTATGTATTGAATTTTGCCACTCTGAGTGTCAAATGTTCTGAAACTGACCCATGGACCTCAGACCAACTTCTAAATGTGTCTCTTTGCCTCTCTGCTATGCCAGGTAGATAAGCTGTGTCACTGGGCAGGTCACACAGTGGGCAGCCATTCAATATGCCTCAGACGGGAAGCCTGATGGCGGTCCTATATTTAAACAACGTTTTAATAAAGCTGTCAACAGCTTGGGGGCAAACTTCTCCCCAGTAACAGACAACACGGGACAGTGTTGACTCTAGTCATATCTGACCATGTTTTTGATAAATAACATTTTGTGACACCAGTGGAACTTATGCTAGGCTCGTCTATGTTGAAAAGACAACCACATTCTGATGATGATAAAATATATAGTCACATCTTAAATTAGAATTTCAGCAAAAATATATGTCGCTTTTTTCTTTCAACCATCTCCAAAATGTGGTTGTCTTTTCAACATAGAGAGCCTAGCACATAGCATATCTCAGTACAGGAAGGAGGCAGTTGACCGAAGTTCTGACTGAAGCTCAACTGTCAATTCCACTAAACAATTTTTTAATGATATTAATTAAGGTTCCATTCAGGTCGAACAGAGTCAGGTTGCTGCTATTCTTCCGGCACCGCAGAGAGTGGCAGCTCGACACAGCAGCTCTCGCTCCCCCTCTCTTTGAATTTCTCAATAAAGGGATCGATAAAGGAACATCTTATCTTATCTTATTGTGCATGTTGGCTCACTGGAAAGGCTCTGCTACACTGGTAACACCTGAGTTTACCTGACTATTTCATGTCAAAAGCATGTAAAAGTGAAAAGAGAATGCAGCAGTAAAAGCAGATAATGCCCAAATTACCACTGGGTGAACTTTTACTTTATCATTTACGATAATGGAGCTGTTTTTTACCCACTGATGAGCTACGTGCTGTTCGTGGAGACACCCAGTATGTTTGTGAATGTATGTACTTTGATAATTCCCCACACAAGTGCTCACATCACTGACAGCTGGGCCGCTGCTTTCAACTGTCAATATTTATTAACCGCCCTTTATGCTGGTACTCTAGACATGGCTGCCACTCTGGCACACACACCATGGCTGCTTTCCCTCTAGGTAAAAGTTCCCTCTGGGCTGCTGATTGTTACAACATAAAGGTCTTAATAATGTTTTTCCCTCCAGCTACAGTACATATCTCAACTCGCTCGTCTACATTTTCACATTAAGATCTAAGTTTTCAATCAAACTTCTTGTTTTCCAGTGGAAACTGCTTGATCAAATGTCTGTAATTCAACTCTCTCATTAGCCTAGTTTAATGGATTTTATGGAAGCATTTTTGTTAAAACATACAATAAATTTGAGTCCACCACAGACTTCATACCCATTCAAGGCATCAGCCTTGGATGCCGTAACAGTTTTAAATAAAGAAAAACAATGCCTACATTAATAAACCTTTGTATTGCTATTTTTTTTGACTTTACTGACACATATATGTAAATATAAAAGCTAGAAGTTTCTCCCTGCCAAAGGTATTTGTGCTAAGCTAGGCTAAACTAAGTAACTTCAATGAATCCTGCACTGATCCCAGATATAACGCGTTTGCCTTATAGGGCCACCAGTCCTCACTTCAACTCTAATGCATTTAACTTTAAGTCTTTTAAAAGTTTTTTTTCTTATTACAAAACAGTACCTCTTATCTAATCTCAGGAGATCAAGATTTAATCCTCTCAAAGACTCAGGTGTGTCCATGTCAGGTTCACGACTGCTTCACCTCAGTAAAGAGAGGGAACGAGGAGATTCTTTTAAACTTTATCCATGTATGTTAAAAGTGATCTAACGTGGTTTATTTCCAAAGGTTTCTGTCACCTCCAAGGCACATGCAAACACACACTGTTTGCATTCTGTTGTTGCCAGCTGACTTGCACAAACGGAACATTTATTTGATTCTAAATTGGGGTATAAAGTCTACAGGGCATTATGGTAGATTAGCTGGCTAAACAAAATCTGGGACTGTATTGTCAGCAAGGAGGCTCAGGTTACATTTGAACTCATGTTAACTGTACCACTTCATGTTAACTAGTTTGCAGGACTGAAACCACTGGTGTTGGTTATGTGCATGGTCATATTGTCAGTATCTGACATAATAGCATAAAGAATATAGGGTTCAATATAATATAATATTCAATATAGGGAATACAGGGTTCAAAATCCAAATGAGGCTGAATCACGTGCTCCTGAAGAACAGAAAGACTGAAGACTGGAGCGCACTGATTCATTCACAGCTCTTAAAGGACCAGTGTGTAGGATTTAGTGTAGTGGTACATTATTAAGTCTATAGGAGAAACTATTGTGAAAACCTTTTCAACCAAGTATCCAACTAGGTTGACCATATACATTGTTTGCCTCATGTCTTTGTCCATTTTGGCTCTGGTGAAGACACAGTTGTGTCAAAACATTATTCTGCTTGCACAATTACAGGCTGTGAATTAATCACTGTGCTTCAGTCCTCCTTTTCCCCTGAAATAATATATTAGATGTAGGCATGGTGACGATGTCACAATTATCTTAATTGCGATACACAATATTTTCACAATAATTATGAAAATATACTTCATACTTTTAAAATGGCACTAAACATACTGGAATCACTTTACCTTACATTCTGTTAAGACACACATATTTATTGCATCACAGATAGGAACCTCATCTCCCTGTTCTTTATTTTGGAATCTATACTATTTCCACACATCCATTTTTTTTTGTGGGGGATAAAACGGAGAAGCTGAGCCTTCAGCCATGGTGACAGGATTAGGATTTTGGAATGACTGGAAAGATGTTGGCTCCCTCTTGTCCCCTTGTTGTACATCAGGAAATCAATATAGGACTGTATGCTGGAGAGCTAGACAGCTTTTTCAAGTCATGTGAGGATATTCATGATTATGAAATTACCTAGCTTTCAATCAAACCATGTTATCCTTCATATTTATCCAACTTCTAAGCCAGAAACTGCCAGAAAAAGGCCCAATTTGAACATTTGATGTGTGTAGGTTAAATATGAAAAGAAACTTAAGTGAATAACAGCTTAAACTAACCAAGTGAAATTAACATATGGTGCAGCCTGAATTTGTTGTCCTTCCTATCTACCCAACTTTGAATGTTAAACTAGAAACTTGCTTTTGAGACCTCCTAGCTGTTGACAAGGACATGGTAACCATAAGCCACTAAACCAATCAACATTACTCTATGAATTCATTCAATTATTATGCTTGATTATTTATTACAACATCTGATACTTGCAGCAGTGCTACGGAATATACCCAACAAGATCTGACTAGTTTCTGTGACTGCTCTGATCTTTGTCATTGTTGGTCTTTACTGGTAGTCATGCATCCTGCCCCTCCCTGTCTGGACAAGGTGCGGCTCAGGTAGAAAAAATGAAAAGAAAAGGGAAAACGTTGATCAATCAGAAAGAGTCTGTGCTTAACACAGCTATCCATTCCCTGAGGCAGAGTGAACACACACACACACACACACACACACACACACACACACACACACACACACACACACACACACACACACACACACACACACTGTAACACTGTGAGGAAAGAAGGTTGTGTAACATTATCCTGCCTGTTTTATAATCTCTACTGACTTATCTCATTGTTTCCAGACTTATTTTTCCCTCCACTACATTTATCTGAAAGCAGGAGTTGAGTTATTTTGCAGCTGAAGATTTTACATAAATAAACAGCTTCTTGGGGTACCTTGGACTGGGCAACAGTTCAGCTCCTGACCTTTGTTGCCCTCTTGCTCTGTGTTGCACCATTCCTGTTATCATTACACTGTTACAATATTAAATATTTTTTAGAAAATCTCTATAAAACTGAATTATGACAGCACAGCAGATACACACATTTAAACTAGATTAGGTCATACCAAACTAGAGAAAAAGTCTGCCATTGGGTTCTAGTGCAGTTTCACTTGTTTTAGTGGACTTTATATGAAGAAAGCTGATATGTATTGTAATTAAAGGATTATATCTCACATAGAGGCCCTTTTCTCCAGTTTTTGAGAAAATAACATTAACGTGAATCTTGCCCACTGCACATCCTCTGCTCTGGACAGTGTTATTTCAAAATCAGCATATAAATCCAGTATTGGGAGGTTTATGCTGAGCTAGCAGATGAGCCAGTGAGTGGCTTTTCAGACGTCGGTCAAAGAGTACAGTTGCAACATGATGCACTGGCACTGAAATCAGACTGTTTCATAAATGGACAGCAGGCAATCAGGCCAAATCCACCAGAGCCTCCATCCTGCATGTCTGTCTGCTCACTTTGACCTCTGTGCCACGCAGAGACCCATGCGTGGCCCGGGTGAACACAGCCAGTTCAGTGTCTGCATACGTAGTGCTCTGCTTTAACTGATGGGTTTTAATAAAGCCAATACCAGTATTTTACTCTCTTTAATCTGACTCTACTATTATATATGACATTATTAGATTATTATAGGACTCATGCTCATTTTCAACTATTTTGTATCGGAATGAAACTAATAATTATCTTCATTATGGATTCATCTGCTGATTATTTTGTACATTAATCCATTGATAGTAACAAATTCTGTCATATTCATCTAGAAACCAAAGTGACACATTTACAACAGTCCAGACCTCAAAACTATTACATAGGCTATTTAAAATTTAATTAAAAGGAAAATCAGCAAATCTTCACATTTAAGAAGCTGAAACCATGAAAATATTTTTGCATGAAAAACTGTCAAAATAGTTCACAATTATTATTCTGTCCATTGATTAATCAACTAATGGTTTCAGCGGTACTTGTACATAATGTTGGGTAGTTTAACTAGTAACTAAAGCCATCAGATCAATAAAAAGTACAATATTGCCCTCTCAGATGTTCTGGAGTAGACGTAGAATGTGAAAAGTACAAGAACCTCAAATTTGTACTTGAGTACAGTACTATTTACTTAGTTACATCCCACCACTACTTTTACATGTGTACGTGAACAGCACTTCCAACCAGCCTTCATATGCAGAGAAGTCTCCCCTAATCATGATGATTGAGTAAGGTTTGATCAGAGCTTGTTATTGTAAAAGTGCAACACAAATGTGTGTCTCAAGACATCTTTGCAGAGATGAGGACTGTTCCTACCTGTTGGTATGGGGTGCAGTAGACCTCGGAGCCTGTGAGGCCGCAGGTGGAGGAGGCGTGGAGCTGGTGGGCCCTGCCCAGGAGCAGGTCATTGCTGGGTGGGTAGCAAGCCCCCCGAGAGCAGTCTGTCTGGGCCTGTGCTACTGCAGCTATGGCTGTCAAGAGGAAGGCAGCACAGTGAGAAACCATGAAACATTATAATGCGTTGTAACTATATGACCAACATCTGTCATCAAAATCATCCCAAATATTCCAGTTCACAATCAATACTGAGATTTATCATGACATACAAGCCCAAGAAAGAAGGACCAACCCTATACTGATAGTCTGGAAACGGCAAAAAAGATTCTGATGTGAGATTAACACAAAATAACTATTCATGGCAAACAAAACTACACTACAACCTATAACAAATACATTTGAAATCCTGTGTAATCTGGATTAAAGAGTTCATATTTATACTTTGTTTAGATTAACGCTTACGCAGAGTAATTTAAAGGAAGAGATATAATAGCTGTGAAACCTACGTAGGAGAGAATGTATAAGAATGACTATTGGATCAGTAGTCATTCTTGTACATTCTCTCATTGAGCTAACTTCTACACAATGAAATAACAGTGAAACGAAAATATAAAAAAATTTTCTGAAGGTCCTCTAGCACCCTCTCAAGGTCCCCTGTGGATCCCTGGACCCCAGGTTGCGAACCACTGTTTAGATGATGCTGCAGTTTTTTAAATGTCCTTTTTCCACCTTAAAGCTGCGTAGGTAATTTTTCTAAAAATATGTTTGTTATATTTGCTGAAACCTTCACTATATCCTGACAGTAGTACATGTAACAGATAATCTGTGAAAAAATGAGGTTCCTCTGGCTTGTTGTAGCGCTCTTAATGGCATTTGTAAGACCGGGTCTGAACAAAAACAACCAATCAGAACCTACTGCAGCTTTAATATCACTGTACTCCAAAAGAAAACGCCTAAAAAGGAAGCACAGGATAGATCTGTGGTACTCAAAAAGAATGCCTTCTTGTGGTTTCGACAAACTCAGAGTCAAGGTCTATGCATTTCTGTGAGAAAGTATCAGCCTTAAAATGTGCTTTTAAGGCGTATATTAAGAAGGTATCACCAATATGTTTTCCTTCAATTTGGACAAATCCAGGAGTTTTCTGTAACGTCCTTGTCAGGGTGAAAGAGCCTTAAGCAGACCCAGACTAGTGAAATCCTGTCAGGGTTTACAACTCTTTAAACATGTGCCATCACGACCAGAGAGACGCAGAGAACGCAGAGAATGCTTGAATTTCCCTCGGGATAAATAAAGTCTCTATCTATCTATCTATCTATCTATCTATCTATCTATCTATCTATCTATCTATCTATCTATCTATCTATCTATCTATCTATCTATCTATCTATCTATCTATCTATCTATCTATCTATCTATCTATCTATCTATCTATCTATCTATCTATCACTGGTTTTTATTCCAACACGATCATTTCCAGTTAGTTTCTCCTCTCTGCTACAAAACTAATTGATCAGTGTGATCAGTTGCTGCTGTTCAATTCAATTCAATTCAATTTTATTTGTATAGCGTCAATTCATAACAGAAGTTATCTCAGGACACTTTTCAAATAGTTAATCCCAATGGTTTAGGGATGTAAACATCTGAAGAGTTTAAGGTGAAAGCTCCAGGAGAGATTTTGTAAACCAGAAGATAGGAAATAAAATATAAAAGCAACAGACAAAAAAAAGGAAATCTTACCAGCTACAAGTAAAAGTATTCTCATATTGTGCTCTTCTTATGAAAAGGTCTGGAACAGAGAAAACAAAAGAATATCAGCAAGCAGAAACAATCAAAGCCAGTTGAGTGTATTTCCTGACGCGGGGCTCACCTGGCAGTGTATCAGCTCTGTTATCTGCTGTATTAATGTGTGTTGCTGCCAGGTGGCTGCTTTATAAATACAGTCTCACCTGGATGCTATGATACAGTGTGTGTCAGAGTCACACCCTTCACTGACACTCCCTTCACTCCATGAATCAACAAACGCACACACAGCCAGACACGCAGGCTGACGCAAGGAGCCACATGAAATACTATTGTGAGCTCAAATAACAAACTAAAACTGAACTCAAATGATTTTTAATATATTTTTGCCTTTATTGGATAGGGCAGCTGAAGATAGGAAAGGGGGGAGAGAGGGGATGACATGCAGCAAAGGGCTACAGGTCAGAGTTGAACCTATGGCCACTGTGGTAAGGACTCAGCCCTGGTACATGAGGTGCCAGCTCTACCAGCTGAGCTATCTGGGCGCCTCTACTATACAAAGCCAATGTTTGTAGATTTGTCTCTTGTTAATGTGCAGGATAAAAAACTCAGGGTCCCAGAGGATAAATCCTTATAATTTTGGTGTCTTTCCATATAGTGACTTCATCATCATCTTAGTTTAGTAGCCTCGTACAGATGTATGCAATAGCTTATGACTTCCTGTCAATCTAAGGTGCATTGCTGAAAAATAAAAATTAGATTACAAAAACCCCTGTTATACCTGCAAACAAATGCAATGTCACTGTGAATATTTTTGCATGCTAATGTTAGCAATTCACTCAAGGTATTACTGTGCCCAAATACAGCCTCAAAGAGCCACTACCATGGCTGTGGACACACTGGTTCTAAGCCTTAAAACCCTTAAGTATGGAGTGAGTTCACACTAGAAAAAAAAGCATGTCTGGACACACAGTCCAATAATGTCCTAGAGAGAGATAATGCAGAAATGTTCATCTGTACTAGTATAGTAGTAGTATTTATTATTTATTCATTAAAGAATGTATTACATAACTCTATATCAACACTGTTTTGTGGTATTTTCCAGAAACACTGTCACACAGACTCCTCCCTTTCTCTGCAGACACAAATACACACCCTGCAGACAGTGTTTAAGCAGGCAGTGTGCTCATCATCACCTGCGTGGAAAGATATAGTAGCCCGAGGGCCAGCTGAACACACACCTTATGTTTTTCTCTGCTCTGCGCAGACACACTGACTAAGTCCAAGTACAGGGTGTGTCTCCTGACTCAACTAACACACACAGACTACTGTACACACACAGCTTCAGACAAGTGCCATCACGCCTTCAGTGGCTCTGGATGGCAGCTGGAGCTGTGATTTCTTTCTTGGTAACAGCCTGGTTGTTTCTCCTCTTTTAACACCCACCCTTGGTTACAGTGAGATGGAGCCAAAGCTGCTTCATTGGAGGTGTTGGTATCATAAGGTGGCAAAGATCACATAGGAGCAGATAAGCAACAAACATCCAAGACACTGGAAAACAAGCTATGTCTATACCTTCTAATTAAACTCATGTGTGCCTGTAAATGTTTCTGCAATAAAGTTTGTTAAGGTAGATAAAAGATATGGGTACACACACACACACACACACACGTAGACACACATACACAGTGATAAGTTTGCCAAAGTACAACTGTCTAATCAAAGGCATTCCTTGGCAAGATCAACTTCAGGGATTGGTTCCAACTGGCAAGGCAAACGTTTTGCTGCTAATAACTATCGAAGGTATCACACACACAACAAAGACATTCTGTGGTGTATTTTCTTCCTGAAATTCATTTTTGACTTTCCTTTTCATGTAGAGGCACATCTGTGTGTGTGCTGTATCTATTGGGGCCATTATTGTAGCAAAACTATTTACAAATATGAGTGGAAAGTTGTGTAACTTTATCTCAATCCGTGTGTGTAATTTGATTTGTATATGTGTGAAATGATCTATAAAACTGTATGAAATTGATAGGTACACTGAACAAAATGCTCGGCCGTAGCCATTGAGTCAACATTGGGAGGGAACAAATCTACCGGGGGGTGTCTGTGGGGAAATGTTCAACATTTGAATGATTTGAATGAAATGTATTGCCTGCCATTATATTTCAAACTTTACTAACACATGGGATGTACTTATTTGTTACTTATTTTTACAATAAAGTGGTGGCCAACAGCAATCTTTTTTAATCCATTTCAATTAATGAAATAGAGAGACAGTACAGTGTTTGACAGTGATTGTACCCACACATAGCCCCATTGAGCAACAGCTTCTGCTGGGATACGGCAACACCACTTGGACAAACCACACGCAGAACTGCAGTACACTGTAATACTACAACCGATAGTAATAATAATGGCAATGCTTATGATTTGCATAATGCGTTTTCAATAATATTATGATCAATTGTGCATATAATATACAATATAGATATTGCTATCTTCAAAAATACAATCTGAATTGACAAGTAAGGACTTAATGATGTCATCTTAATCGTTGTATCACCTTAAACATCTGTGTGAAATTCTGCCATGATTACAGTGTCAATTCTTGAGTTATGACCAAAAACAAGATCATTTTGAGTTCACAGTGACCTTTGACCACCAAAATCTAATCAGTTATCCTTGAGTTTGCGACGTTTGTGCCAAATTTGAAGAAATTCCCCCAAGATATCATTTTCACAACTAAGGGACACACCCTGTATGACTTCTGATTATGTAGCTTCTATCCTCTGTTCCTTCATGCTTTACATATCTCTGTATCTTATGTATATCATTTATCTATTCTGAATGGTCATTATTGACACTAGGTGTGTGCTGATTAGACTGCTGCTACTCACAGACACACTACTGCAGTCTACAACCTGACTGTTTTTATTGTAGAATTAGTTTTGTGAAACAGAAAACAACATTTCAAATAAACAGAACCCTTTAAAAAAGGCTGCTATGACAAAATTCAGGACAGTTAGATTGATTGGTTATAGCAGGAAACACACAGGTGTGACTAACACTGATGATTATAATGATGGTCATTTCATTTAGGTGTGCCAGTGAGCCATCTCAGTGAGCCATCTCAGTGAGCCAGCATGCACAGGAGGGCTCTGAAATCTGAAATATTTCAGTGTTATTAGTTACTGTCAATACTGTCAAAAAAAAGTCTATTATGGATCCCATCAGTGTAATGAATAGAGGCAATTAGTTTGGTCCACTAAACGAGAAAGATAGGCCTAATTGAGTTAAAAATCCATTGGTTTAAAAGGGAAAATTCCTTTTCAATTTACCTTTTGTAAGCCACGCCCCTTTTTGTTCTGTGCTCCAATAACAGTAAAGCAGGCTTTGGTCAGAACCTCGGTCAACTTCCTCCTTCCTGTACTTAGATATGCTATGTGCTAGGCTAATCTATGTTGAAAAGACAACCACATTTTTAGGTTGGTTTTGAATAGAAGAGACATATATATAGTCCCATATTAAGCTAGCTAATGTTAGCAAAACACTAGCTGACTAGCTAGCTAATCTATATCAATCATTAGATGGCTAAGAACTAGCCGGATAACTACATCACTAACAAATGATGATGTTGATTAGCTACGAAGATAGCTAGTATTTTGTTAACAGTAGCTAGCTATCTTAAGTGGGGCTTTATATATGTCAAGCCTAGCACATAGCTTATCTAATTACAAACAACCCCGTCTTTGAGGACACAGCAGTAGGTGTAATCACAGTGTCTGTCCTACGTGCTGTCCCCGCTGGCAGACAGACAGTGTTTCCCTGATGAACAAACATCTCTGCGCTTCCTGCTCTGCTTCACATTAGTCATCATCATCATCGTGTGTGTGGTACGTGTGGGCCATTCCACTCTGACCACAGTTCACAGCGTGAAATGCTGCAGGGTAACTGGGTTGACACAACCTTTCCCCTGATTTAGAGGCTGTAGATGTGGAAGATTCACATGGACTCCATCAGCCCAATGAAGAGGCCCTGGTCTGGTCACCTGTATGGCACCGACCTGACAAACAACTGAGAAACCTCACGAGTTCATTCCTGTTTTCTTTTTTTAATATCATCTTGACCTTTGACACAATTTCCTTCTCCTCACTGTGCCAGTGTTTGTAGCAGTCCTTGAAATGTGTTAGGAATAGATGAACAGATAGTTTTCTGGCAGAAATGATATCATTTGTTGGGCTAGGAGCTTTAATACTATGGATATAAGACTGTGGAACCTAAATTTCTTTTCTTTCTGAGTGTTGACCATATGAACAGTGTCAACTATTGGAAGAATGTTCTGTTTGTCTGAAATTTTCTAATTAAATTACAATTTTGTTTAGAAACAAATACAAACACAGGTTCCTCTGGCTCCTCGTAGTGCTCCTAATGGCATTTGTAAGAATCCACCAGGCCTGGATGAAAACAACCAATCAGAGTTGAGAAAGACGCTTTGGGTTAGTGGTTTGAAGGTAGTTGATTGTTCATGAAACGTAAATAAGTAATCGTCAACAAATTTAGTTGTTTAGTCGTACTGGACACGTCGGACATTTCCAGGGGACAAAATACATCAACCACTTGTATTTATTGTAGCTTCAACATCTTGATTGCAGAATAGCAATATGAGGCTAGTGGAGATACTGGCTATACAACAGCTTCATGCCATCAGTTTTTAGTGTCCTATTGTTTTTTTGTGTATGAATCAAACTTTATTTATATAGCACCTTTAATACAGATGAGTGCAGTTCAAAGATAACTGACAAGCCGATAATAGCAAATGAAATAGATTAAAAAGGCAAAACATGGGATGCAGACAATTTATACTTCTGAAATCGAAAGAAAAACTGTTTCTGACCTATATAGAAAAAAATGGACACCGTTGAGATTACAGTTCAGTACTGCTGACCCTATATAACATCTTTATTAATATTGTTTACTTATTTGTAATTTCTTCTTCAAATCTTATTTATTATTTATTTACTTTTCTTATGTATGATTTTAGTCCTATTGACCATATTTATATGTACAAGCAACTCTTGTACATATAAAGTCATACTTTAATAGTATACCCCCCCATGTTGGAGCAGGAACATGGGGGGTATACTCTTCTCATCTAACTGTATCTGTATATTTGTTGCATTTTGCATGACTCAAAATACAAATAAAAAGACCTTGAGCAAAAAAAAACAACAACCAAAAAACCAACAACAATAAAATAGATTTAACAGCTATAATAAAAAATAGAGTTTACTAAACAGCTACTTAAGCTAAACTAGAAAACTAGTTAAACTAGATAAAATAGAGAGGGCTAGTAAAAATAAAAACAAATAAAAGAGGGATAAAAATGAGATATTATAAATAAAATATAAAAGCCAGACTGAAGATATATACGTTGTCTTCATTTGTCTTTTTTTGTTTTTTTCTCAACAATTCCTATAATTTTGGTATAATACTGTATACATACTGTACATTATGGTATTAGCACCAGTATGAACACCACAGCTTCACTGGTTAACAGGCTACAATATACACAATGTAAATTCTGACAATGTTTTATTAAATTGAACTCAAAGTAACTTACTTTTGAATACTACACAAACCCTAATGGAATATCAGTGAGAACATTAGTGACAGTGCTGACTGTGTAATAAGCCTACACACAACTGGGTGAAAGTTTCTTGCTTTTTTTCTTCTTTTTTTGGTTTCCAGAAACTGGCCTCTGTGCTTCATGAATATTCAGCTGCTGTCACTGTGTGGGTGGAGAGAGAAGGGCTATAAATGACCACAGTGTCCAGTAAAGGTGTGTTCATGCCACAAACTGGAACTCATAGTGAGAACCTGTGACTACAACAAAGAACAAACCACATCACGGTAAGTTATTGTTTTTCCTTTTCAGACATCAGTGGTAGAGAGTGTATGCTACGTGTGTTAAACACAGAAATGGGATATTAGGCTTTATTACATACATTTTTTAAAATAAGTTTTCGATTTATTCTAGACTAAACTGTAGCTTAAATTTGAATGTCTTATAATGTGTCAATCCATTGGGCAGTTTGTAATGCTGCTGCACTTGTGGTGCAAATCTCAGAGCTGATATGTGATCTGGTCTAATGACTACATGTTCCCAGAACCCAAAGTGATGCATTTAACTGCTTCTTTAGTCTGACCAACAGTTTAAATAGCCAAAAGTGTTTACAGTGATATGAAACAGACAAATGGTATATCTGCACATCTAAAAACAGCTGGAACTACATAGCCTAATAGGCTAATTTTACAGAATGAATGCTTCAAATAACTTTGTTCTTCACTGATACGTTTTAACAGGTCTACATACAACCCTCGCTGCAGAACCAGAGGAAATGGAAAGCATGCAGGAGTTGATCCCATTCGCCAAAGAGATGCTGAGTCAGAAACCCAGCCGTGGTTTGCTGAAGGTCTACCTGGTGGGCTCTGTGTTTGCATTGCTGGGGACGGTCATTGGCCTGGTCGAGACTGTGTGCCACCCTTTCTCCTCTGGTGACACGATGGATGCGGAGATGGTCCTCATGTTGGCCAGGGAACACAGAACTGTTGAGGCCGAGGTGCAGCGCAGCAGTGTGGAGGGCCAGGGGGAGGAAGATCAGGAGCAGCTGGCTCGTGAAAGCGGGGCCACGACCCAGAGCATGACCCTCTCCAAGACTCACAGACTCAGCCAGCGGAGCACAGCCAACCGGCTGCACGCCTCCTAAAGGGGTCAACCCTGAGTGACTTGAGATATTTATTAGGGGGCTGCTCCTTCTGCACCACTGAGTTGCGCCACATGTACATAATCTGAAGCTTTACTGACAACTTGCCATTCTGTGCTGCTTACTGATGATGCCTTCAAGTGCTGCTGGAAATGTTGCTTAGTATGCCTTATGCATTGGGCACACATGGGCCCAGGGTCAGCCAACATGGGAGAGTTTTGGACAAGCCCACCCATTGTCATGAGAGTGTGGAAATCGAGTCAGCAATACAGTATGTGGTATAAGTGAAGTGTACATTAAGTCAGTCAGAGCAATGGTTTTGCGGTTCCCCAGGGATCTTCCAATTTGTTTTCCTGAGTCCCCATCAAACGCAGGAATTGTTTATGATTATCAAATCAAAAGTTTGGACTTCAGAGCTTGAAGTTGGAAGTTTACAACAAGTCCCCGAAGGCAGCATCGGTTGGCTGTGATAAGCTGCTGTGCAGCACCACTTGTTATCTGCTGAGTGTATCTGACCGCCACTCCACCCACATACTGGGCTCAATGAGAGGAGTGTTTTTGTAAATATTGTGCTATGTGCAAATACTGTACTATCTGTTTTTCATACCAATAAAGTTCATTTTATTTATTATGTCTGGTTTCCCTCTGCTTTGACTCCTTCAAACATTTGCTGTACATTTGATCAAGTCCTAAGATTAGGCACAGGTAAACTTATGCTTGTAAAGAAAAGTGTGACTAGTTCACTGCAAACAGGGTTAGGGTTAGCATTATGAAGATCTTAGTTCACCTGTTATTACAAATAACTTACAAGAACCTTCGAGAAGTGTCATTTCTTTCTTGACCATAGAGAAAGAAGATATAAGATTTATTATGTGTGTTGTTTAAAGATATGAAACAAGAGAAAGCTTACACATCCAAGTCACACAAGAGCAGGTGCCAGGGGCGGAGTGTGGGGTGGCTTCAGGGCCTCCAGCTTTTAAAATAATTTCAACTTTGTGTCATTTCCCCTCCGTCTCGCTGACTGGATCAGACAATAGAGCAAGTTCTATTACTGTGGCAATATCAGCATCTATTAAATAATTTTTCATTTGAACAATGCAAATTTTATAAAATGTATTTTAACCAAAAGAAAAGAAAGGGAAAGCTGTTCAAAGACCTGGAGCAGCTGGAGAAACTGCTTACTTTACTCATCCTGGTGAACGGGACTACAATGATGAAATAAAACTGAATATCTGCACAGTATTGGACATTATAAAAACTATAAATAACTGTCAAAGGAACATTAATAACAAACAGTATGGCAGCAATACATTTAATCTAATCCACAGAAGAAGAAGAAGAAGAAGAAGAAGAAGAAGAAGAAGAAGAAGAAGAAGAAGGGATTGACTGTGTGGGACGTTTATGGCACTGGGAAATAGTGTCAGAGTCTCTGTTAGGGATATAATAATGATTGGGACAGATAATGGGAAATTTATATTATTTTAAATTATTTGTGGGACAAATAAAGGAATATCTTCTCTTATCTTAATTAAAGTAAAGCCGATAAATTATCAGCTGATATGAAGAATAATTTATTTTAAATTTTATGCAAAACAATTGATAAGCTTTATGTTCTATGAAAGCCAAAGTATGTTTGTGAAGATGTTTAGTGATGTCAGGTAGATTTGGCTAGCCTTTCTGTTAGAACTACAGGTTGGCGATGGCGAGGAGAGGATGCGCCGCGGCTAATGAAGAGCAGATACAGGTTAGCTGCACTGGCTAACAAGCATGTCAACTCAGTTGTCTGTGCAGTTAGGAAGCTCACAGTACAAACAGCAAGCCCTGTACACATAGTGTTAGCATTAGCCTGCTGCGTGCTCATTGGTGCACAGATGCTGATGAGTCCAACTTCTGCTTTTGATGGAATATTTCTTTTCACTGGTAAAGGTCTTCAGTGTGTTAAGAATCCATAACCATCGCCCATGAATCTCCACACAACCACAACATTTTTCACCAATACAACAACACAGCGTTAACCTGTAGCGTAGCCTAGTGTAGTGGTCAAAAAGCCTCCCTCCAGCAACGCCTGTTCCCTGAGTGAAGGTTCCTACCTAAAAGTGGTTAATCCATAAATAAGATATATAGAAATCACAAGGATACACAGAGATCATACAAACACAAGTTTATTATGAAATAATATTGGGTGAGAAATCATAATTTACTAGGGAGCCCTATCCAGACAGCTTTTTATTGTTTTCCAACATTGATGTTAAATTTACTGTGGCTCTTTATACACTGACCATCAAGACCCTTTAATGTCAAAGGGAAAACAGTCATAAAAAAAAGTGATATTACAAAGAATTACAAATGCTAGTAGTCACCTACTTTAATAGGACACTCACTCACTCTTAGTTAAATGGTGATCACCTGTGTTTAGTTAACAGGTTTCAACTGGTTGTAGTACAATGACGACTTATTGACCAACCGACCAACAGAGCAAGCTGCTGATAGATATCCACACAGACTCAAGGCTACTGCATCCAGTATGTAGAGCCTGAGAGAAACTCCTTAAGCTTTTCACTTCAGTGTGGAAGCCCCGTTCCGCCAATCTGATAAAAAAAGAACAGATCCTGTAAGTCATTACAATGAAATAATGACTTAGTAATCCCTAAAAAAATTTGCATAGGCCTATGCATTGTACCAAAGCAACAGAAGCAAGTTGGTGAGAAATTAAAATTAAAATTAAAATTAACCTAAAGTACAGTAGCAATACATTTAATTGGATAAATTCAACTTTTGCAGAGGAATAAAAATATGTGCCGAGAGAGAAAATAAACTAGAAAAATAGAAATGAAACATGTGCAGGTAAGTTAAGTGTTTATAGGTTAATGTAAACTATGTGCAATTAAAATTAGGCTGTCGACCAATGAATGAAAGTCACAGCATGTAGCAGAGGTAGTGCAGATGGAGTCAGAAATGACAGTGAATGAAAGAATGTCACGGAAAACAGTGCAAATGGAGGAGGAAATTGTCCATTATCTATTGTCCTCCCTGCCTTGACTAAGAGCTGTTGTACAGTCTGATGGGGGACGAAAGAGTTTTTGAGTCTGTTGGTGGAGCTGGACTGGGACAGCAGTCTGCCACTGAACACACTCCTCTGCCTGGTGAAGGTGTTGTGCAGAGGGTGGTGGGCGTTGTCCAGGGTCCTTCTCTCTGCCACTGTCACCAGAGAGTCCAGCTCTGTGCCCACCACTGAGCCAGCTCTCCTCACTGGTCTGTCCAGTCGACCTGCGTCTCTCCTCTTGCTGCTTCCTCCCCAGCAAACCACAGCATAAAAGAGCACGCTGGCCACCACAGACTGGTAAAACATCTGCAGCAGTTTTTTACAGATGTTGAAGGACCCCAGCCTTCTCAGAAAGTACAGACGGCTCTGCCCTTTCCTGTGTAAAGCGTCCATGTTTGCTGTCTAGTCCAGCTTGTCGTCCAGCTGCAGCCCCAGATATTTATAAGTCCTGACCACCTCCACATCGACCCAGGACAAGGTGGAGATGTGGTTCCCTTCTGAAGTCCCCCACCATCTCCTTGGTCAGGAGGTGTTCAGCGCAAACAGTTGGACCGCACCACCTCACAAAGTCCTCAACCAGGCACCGTACCCCCCCCGTCCACCTGATACACCCAAATATCGCAGTATCATCCGACATAATCATGTGATGTCAGTGCTACTGGTCTAAAGTCACCGGCTCTCTGACTCGGCATTATTTTGAGCTAATTTTGAGGATAGTTTCTCATTATTTTGAGATAGTAAGTCATTATTTTTAGACAGCCATTATAGCTTTTCTTTTTCATCACGTTTGTGGAAATTGGCTTCCATAATGTTAAGGTGAGATCTGTAAGTATGGATAACTGGTCTTACACAGTGTGGGTTAATGTGAGATACACACTCCACTGTTTGCCCTGAGACCCTGGTGTGTTAATGGCTAACTGCAGGTTTTATAGGGTCACAGGACGGTTCAGCGGAGGCACTAACAGATCCAGCAGCATGGCTCACTGAGATAGCACAGCCACAATGGAACAATGCTGCCTGACACGTGAACACACATGAGTGGGAGGCCAATATAACCCTGAGTCAACATGATACTGTTTGGTCTGAGAATAGTTTGAGTGATGGCCTACGTGAGGGCTGAAACGGACAACACTTAAATCTCTGCACACAGTTGACCTAAACTGACTGTGAGCCCCGTAAACAGGTGTGTGTAACAAAGCAGTGATGTAATGTAAATGGTGAATAGCACTAAGGCTGTTAGCACTGTCGCGTCACAGCAACGAGGTCCTGGGTTCGAGTCCCAGCTTTCTGTGCGGGGTTTTCATGTTCTTCCTATGTTTGGATTTCTTCCATGTATGTTAATTCTCCTGTCTTTGCCTTTGACCAAGGCACTGGCTCCAAACTGGAGTTGGCCCCCGGACACTGTTCAGTTGCTGCCCACTGATCCTCACACTTAGGATGGGTGAAATGCAGGGGATCAATAAAGGATAGATAGCTAACTGTTAGCATACAAGTTCTGTTTGAAAGAGCAGCAAGTGCCATAGCCAATGAAGCTTGCCTGTGACTACTTGACGACACATCCATTAACACACACAGTGTTGAATTCAGACGAGTGGTGCATCTTTTTCTATTGGGTTAGGTAATAATGAGTGTGACAGAACATGATATCCAAGTATGACATTATAATAATTATTTTAAAGCTGCAGTAGGTAACTTTTCTAAAAACAACTTTTTGTTGTATTTTCTCGAATTTGCACCGTGTTCTGACAATAATTCATGAGACAGACAATTTGTTAAAAAATCAGGTTCCTCTGGCTCCTCCTAGTGCTCCTAATGGGATTTGCAAGAATCCACAGTGGGTTAATGAAAACAACCAATCTGAGCCGAAAAAGATCTAAAGATGCTGTGGGTTGGAAGCTTGAAGATAGTTGATAATTCCCAGCATTTGATACTCTGGGAATGAAACTCAACAATCAATATTAACATTTACATTTTTTAGCTGTCTTGCCTTTAAGATTTCCTATCTTATACCTAAAGAGTTTAAGGGAGATTTAATACTATTTACGGGTTCTCACTATTGTCTAGTTGCATAAGTTTCTGACATACATTGATGATTATTTTGTTATTTAACAAATGAAAAGTTAGTAAAACAGTTAAAAGTTAAAGTGTTTTCACTGTGTGCTTAAAAAGGGCATTTAAAGTCCCGATCTGCAAAAAGGCTGCCTCCTGTCATTGCATTTGACAAAATTATGAACCCTCCAGCTGCACAACTTAACAATTTAACTTGGGGTCAAAATATCAATTACAGAAAGTCAAATCAAAGTGAAAAAATGGTTGGGAAAGACTTTTTATTCTGTCTTTCAAAGAAACAGGGATTTGCTTTGAAAGGTTGCCAGTGGATACCAGAGCACACAGTGTGAAGCTGCTGACGCTTTGCCAAGCCCTTCCCGGTGTCAGCCAAGCATCCTCTGAGTAAAGAACAACAGGCTGCACAGCGCTGCAGACAAGGATTCGATTACATCCTGGTTTGAATTGTGAGCTCAGTTTTAAAACCACCATGTGTAGCAAAGAGAGTCCTTTTAGTTGCCAGCTGAAAATGTGTGTGTTTC